TTGTAATACCTAAAAATAAACCAACTTTTGATTACACAAAATTAAGAAAAAGAGAAATACATCAAAAAGTGATCCAACAAGTCAACTCAAATCTAACAGAAGTGAGAGAAGAAATCTTAACATCAGAAGATGTCAATGAAAAGTGGAGCAATATTCAGAAGGCATTACTAAAGGCTGCAGAAGAAAATTTAAAGCCTGAAAAGACAAATAAAAAACAGAAGTGGAAGTGGCGACTAGATATGAACCAGGATCTCTATATCTGCTTTATAGATTATCAAAAGCCTTTTGATAGACTACGACATCAGACACTCCTAAAACTGTTAAAAGAAAATAATGTGGTTAGTCGAGATATACGGGTTATTGTCAATCTGTACTGGAATCAAAAAGCAAAGGTTAGAATCGAAAATGTCGATACAGAAACAATAGAAATCAAAAGAGATGTTAGACAGGGTTGCGTGCTGTCCCCATTGTTATTCAATCTGTACAGCGAAGCTATTTTTAAGGAAGCAATATCTATATAAGGACATTGCAATGCTTAGTAAATAGATTACATCAAGTCAGTATCAAATATGGACTACAAATGAACATTAAGAAAACCAAGCTCATGATTATTTCTAAGCAACATACAGTAGCAAGGCTAGATATCGAGGGAAAGCAAGTAGAAAGAGTGAATACCTACAAATATCTGGGAACCTGGGTAAATGAAAACAATGACCAACGTAGAGAAATAAGGACACGCATTGAAATTGCAAGACAAGCATTTATAAAAATGAAAACAATGTTTGTCAATCGAGACCTTCCTCTGAATCTGAGGATAAGAGTCTTAAGATGCTACGTGTTCTCGAGTTTGTTGTATGGAATGGAAAGCTGGACACTAAAAGTGGATAATATAAAGAAGTTGGAATCATTTATATCATGTGGATTACAAATGCAGAAGTGTTAAGAAGCCTACAAAAGGATTGCGAGGTCATAAAGCACATCAAAACAAAAAAGCTGGAATATTTAGCCCACATTACCAGAGGTGCGAAATATGAGATATTATGGCCCATAATGCAGTAAATCAGGTAAAAATCCATAGGAAGACGAAATTTCCTGCTGAAAACCTAAGAGAGTGGTATAGTTGCAGCTGCAGTAGATCTTTTTAGAGCAGCCGCCAATAAGGTACGGATAGCTGTGATGATAGCCAACCTCCGATAGGAGAAGGAACTACAAGAAGAAGAAGGTACTGACTACTAGGTACATTTATCGACTGTGTATCATTGCAGTGTTGATGCTCGAACTTTAAATTCGTAATTTGTAAAAACCGGTGCAGTGGACCGTGTGTGTCTAGAGAAGTAATAGAATTTTGTGACTTGTAAGTAATTGTTTTATAATAAAACTTTATTTTTCAGATATTTTGCATTATGAAAAAGAGTAAAAAATATTGTTAGAACTTTTTGAAGAAGTTTCGACGGGTGATGAGTATGATGATAAAGAGGAATCGGAGATGAAGATAATGTAGAAGAAAACTTGGAGGGAAGCGATACGGAACAGGAAAATGAGGAATTAGATGATGAGACAGATTTTGCCGTTGGTCCACGATTTTTTGGACAAAGATAATAAAACAAAATGGGCTAACCATATTGCCCCTAAGAACGTCAGAACTCGAAGTGAAAATATTGTTCTGCAGTTTGCCGGTTTAAAATAATGTGTGCAGATAGACAACTCGAATATTTTAGATATCTGGAACAGCCTCTTTGATACTGATATGTTGTAAATAATTGTTGATGGACCAATACAAATATATAATATATAATATATATATATATATATATATAATAATATATATATATATAATTATATATATATACTTCGTATGAACTTTACACATTGCAGTTTTTACATAAAGAAAAGGAAGAAAAAAGTGACAATAACATTAATAAATAAGTAAGTAAATAAGTAAACACTGACACAGAACATATAAAATTAAAATTATTAAACTAAAGTCGAAGGTTACATCCTCGAAGCCAATTTGTCGCCTTGGGAGTAAGTTGGTGGATTTCTTGAAGGTTGCCAAAGAACTTGGTGGCTGGACACTCGAAGACGATGTGGTTAATTGTTTGTTCAGCGGCGCTGCATTTGTCACATTCCGGGCTGGCATTTATTCCCCATTGATTCAGCGATTTGTTACAAATTCCATGACCAACTCGTATTCTATTTAGGTTGCACCATTCACGACGGGGAAGAGAAAAGCCGTCTGGTTTGATTGTGGGGTTTTCTATCAGATTGGTATTTCTGATGTCTGGATTCCATTCGCCCATCCAGTGCTCTTCGGTAGTGAAAACAGCCAATTTTGTAGCAGTTCTAGTAGGTGGATGTCTGGATTTCAGTCTTAGCTGCCCTTGGTGTAGTTCAGCGATGTCTGTGTTTATCGGTAGTTCTGGGTTTTGTTGGCATTTTTAACTAGAGTGTTGAGTGCGGCTAATCGTCTTGTTGCTGGTGGAGCGATGTTGCTTAAAACTGGAAGCCACTGGGTTGGTGTGGGCTTTATAGTTTCCATTATGTGCCTCATTGTTTGATTTAACTGGGTATCTATGACTTTTGTGTGATGACTGTTTAGCCAGACAGGAGCGCAATATTCTGCAGTAGGATATACTACGGACAGCGCGCTCGTTCTTATTACCTCTGCATTCGACCCCCATGATGTATTTGCTAACTTATGGATAATATTATTGCGGGTCTTAATTTTTGCTGAAGTGTTTTCCAAATGCTTTTTGAATGTTAGGGTACGATCTAGAGTTACGCCGAGGTATTTTGGGTTAGCACTGTGCTTTAGCCTGGTTCCATCGCATTCTATGTTTAGTCTGTAATTTGCCTTGTTGTTGTTTAGGTGGAAAGCTGTTACTTCAGTTTTCGATGGGTTTGGTTGTAGGCCCCATTTCTTAAAGTATCTGTTAACAGTATTTAGATCTGCTTCTATGGTGGATTCGGCGATGTTTATGTCTTCTTCTTGGGCACCCAAAGCCATGTCATCGGCATAAATAAATTTGCGCGAGGTGGTAGTTGGTACATCTGACGTATAAATATTAAAAAGTAGAGGAGACATAACTGACCCTTGTGGCAAGCCGTTTTGCAGGTTTCTGAAGTTACTATTTTTCCCATTTAGGTGTACTTGGAAAAGTCTGTCACTTAGCATTTGGTTTAACAACCTGTTGAACGCACGGCACGGTAACATCTGGTATATTTGATATAAAAGGCCCTCTTTCCACACTGTGTCGTAGGCGCAGGTCAAGTCTATGAATGCTGCTACTGTTTTCAGTTTCTTTTGGAATCCGTTCCAAATCCAAATCAAGTTCTTCTGGTTCGATGAGCTTCATTATCGGTAGGCTTTGTTGTTGAGCAAGTTTGGCTTCTTTTAAACTGAGATCGGACTTCTCTTTTATGATCTTTTTCTATTATTGGTTTTGAAAGGTTGGCTATGCGTTTGCCTATGTCTTCCGGTTTTGGGTCTGTAGAGTTTGCTGTATGGCTGTTTGGGCCAGAGTCTAGCTTCCTTAGAAGGTTCCATGCTGTGCGGCTGCTGTGTGTGAAATTGAGATTTTCTAAAGTTTCTCTCCACCTTGTGGTTCTTGCGGAGTTAAGGGTTTTTAAGAGTTGTTCACACAACTTCAGGATCTCCAGATTTCTCATACTGATCAAGCAGTTCTTTACATTCGTCGTTCCAACATGGGATGTAGGATTTGGTAACTCCACGTGGAATGTGCTTTTTTGCACATCTAATCACTAGTGATGCGAATCTTTCATAATTTTGAACCTCGGTTTTGATATGTCTGATGTCAATTTCAAGTTGAAATTTAAACTCTTCCCACCTTGCCTTCCGGAAATTCCATCTTGGCAAGGGAAGTAAATTTATAATAGGGATGGTGGTGCCCACGGTTGTAATACAAAAATAGAAGCAGAAAAGCAGAAGTTCAGTCGCCATCGAGATATATACCCAACAAACATTGATGAAATTCTTATCCTTTTTTGGTCTCTTATGTCTTGCAGGTGTAAGAAAGGCAAGTCTCCTTAATACAACAGATTTGTGGAAACGGACGGCGCTGGTATAGAGGTTTTCCGACTGACAATAAATATCACGAGATTTAGAAATTTACTAAGGTACATGCGAACTGAGGATATCAATACAAGGCATGATAGAGTTAGTTTGAATAAATTAGCGCCAATAAGAATCTTATTACCAAGTGGAACGAAAATCAGAAAAAAATGTTTCTCCATTCGCAATACGTAACCGTGAACGAAAAGTTGGAGGCTTTTAGAGAACAGAGGTGAAATATTGCTTTATTTTTGTTTAAGATAGTTCTTGAACACTGATATGTTATGTTCGAATTTTAAATTAATTGTAATTTGTTTAGTAAAAAAGAAAATAAATCAAACTATTACAAAAATTGTGTACTATTTTTTGTGCTACGTAAATAAACATTTTAAATAAACAAAATATGTCAATTATAATAATTAATGTTCAAAAAATTACAAACAATAGATTATTTGATTGAAATTTAAACAAAATGCATCCAGAGGACTATTTTTATGACCGGTGTAGTAGATCGTGTGCGACTACTGATACACAAAATTAAACTGCGTCTACTGAAAGAGAAACAGATTCAGTGGTCCCAAAAAGTAATAAAATAGGGCGACATAACAATGTAACAGCAGCAAATGAAGATAAATTTTAAGTTGAGGATAATCCAGAAATTAGTATTCGAAATAACTGAAGACAAAAGTTGAGTATCCAAATGAGCTGATAAGCAAAGTTCAAACAATAAGATAAATTGTTATTAAACAATAAAAAAGGAAAGTTTATTTTTACTATTAAACACCCCCTACTGCATATCCGATAAATATCTAATATTCCAGAAAGCTGCAATACCCTCGTAACCCATTTTCCAATCTACCTCAATCGACAAAACAGCCGTTCCCACAGCAACGCTTTCTGTCAGCTTCAAGTCATCACATTTCCATTATGTACATCTCATTTTCATTTCATTTTGTTCCGTGATGGTAACAGGAAAAGAGTCCAGATCGACGAGCGGCATGAGGCAGCAGAGTGGCTGCAAAATTTGGGTGCCTGCGTTCACTGTTCAAGCTCTTCAGAGACACACATGCGTCATTCCGCCGCCGAGATGTAATGTTTATAAGGAAATACCGTCGACGAACAGGAAGTTTAGAACGAACTACTTGAGAGGAAATTTGCCCATAGGAACGGATCCCAAGGGTAATAAAGTTTCTTGGAAAGTGAGTACCCAATTTTCTCGTATATTTGAATTGTTTGTACGGAAACATTTTTGGAATACAACCTCACAGCTTTACGCTGCAAATTTTTTTTTATTTCAACTTTAACGTGCTCGGCTACTATGGCCACTTACAGTGGGTGATCAAATTATTATGATCACTTGAAAAAACTTTGCATTTTGCTGTTTATTAAAGAATAAAAGTGCATATAAGCGTCTAATGATGTGAATATAATATAAAAATAGATTATAAACACTTTTTACAAAATTTTGAAATATTTTTTTCTTTGACCTTAAATAACAATTGTTTTTAATATTTTATGTGACCTCCTTTAGCTTCGATGACAGCTTTGATCCTCCTTGGCATGCTTTGAATGTTTCTCAGGCAGTCTTCGTTTATTTTATCGTTTCTGTGCCAGGTGGCAATGAGTCTCTCAACTAATTGCTGCTTATTTGTGACAGTTTCCTGGGCAATCCACCTCTTCATAAGCTCCCATATATTTTCGATCGGATTGAGGACTGGGGAATTACCTGGCCACTTCAGTACTTTCATTTTCTTTTTTTTTTCAGATACGATGTTACTGTTTTTGCCTTATGGCACGGTGCTGAATTGCGCATAAAGGTAAAATCCTCCGATTCGCCAGACCAGTCTTTGATTTGTGGCATGAGCTTTCTTTCCAGAACTTTAATATACTGATGTTGATTCATCATTCCATTCACAATGTACAGCCTCCCTGTGCCCTTATTGCTGATCACAGACCATACCATGATCTTGAGAGGATACTTTACTTGCTCCACTATGCAATCCTTGTGATATTTTTCACCCACTCGTCTTCGGACGAAGGCCGACTTATCTATGATTATCTCCACTGTAGACTCATCGGAGAAACAAACATGTGAATAAAAAAAACTATGAGATTTTTTTTAGCATAAAAACAGTGGTTATAGGGATTTAAACTTTAGTAGTGACATAATTCACCTTATTCCAAGTTTTTAGCCCACTCCAGTCTCTTTTCATCATTTCGATGGTCAACGTTGGTTTTTCCACGGGACGACATGATTTGAAACCTTGCTTAGCAAGCCTTCTGCGGACTGTCATGTCAGAAACCAGAATCCCAGCTTCATGAATAAGTCCCTTGAAGATTTTTCTTGGCTTCTTTCTATTGTTTACGAAAATATCCCTCATTTTTCTTTCGTCTCTGGGTGTATCAGGGGTTTGTTGGTATATTTGTTGGTATCTTTTTTTTCTTGATATCGCTTACTATTGCTTGCGCTACTTGGCATTGTTGAGCTATCTGACGTTGGGAAAGCTTTGTATTCAATAAAAGTGTCTTTATCTCCACCATTTTGGACACAGGGATGTCTTTAGACTTACCCATTATGATTTTCTTGTTTTGTCATGTTTTGAAAATGTCTTTATAATTAAAACTGATAGTTTTTTTTTCACTCACAATCACCAATAAATGAAAAATTTAGTAATGAAACATACTACAAAGATAAAGCAATATTAATCTTTCAAAAACAATACAAAAACATACAAATTCAGTTGTAAAATCCAAGCGCAAATTCACCGCAATGTGTATTTTGTCACGTAATTTGACATAAATGAAAGTTGTAGAGCTGTAAATGTCAAAAAAGTAAGGTTATTAGTGACAAAATATATTGGCATGCTTAATCGTATAGCAGCATATGATTTTATTATAAAATTTTTAAACAAATTTGAAAAACTTAAATTTTTGTGACTGATCATAATAATTTGATCACCCACTGTACACAGGTACTATAACATGAGTTTTCATTACACAAAAATAAGTGTTACATTAAGAATATGTTACAATAATACGGAATGATAATAATCAGATCTATTCTGTAACTTTTGACAAATCGAATAGAAATCACCAAGTCGAATCGTAATTACTCGGAATCGGAATGTTGGATATCTATCGCGTCGTTTTTGTGTTTGGATTGGCATTCTGTAACTCACATCGTAATCAGTGTAAATCGAAAACGTCAACTTCTATTTGACGCGCTCAGAAGTTGGTGGCAACCCTGCCATTGAAACGCGAAAGAAGTGTTCTGTGACGTTAAGTTACTGGAAAGGCTAGTGCTCGCGAAAAATTCATCAAAAAAGAGATTATATTTCACGTCAAGTAGTTTTGACATGTTTTGGTTAAGTTTGAAAAGTTACAAGAATACAAAATGGCAAGCGGGAAAGCAAAGAAAAAGACATTTGCTGAGCAGTTAAATTATTTAGTAAACTTTATCTAAATAAATAACATCACAGACTAAAAAATGAAGTAGCTACAAAAATTAATTCAACGCTAATTTAGATCAAAAAGTCAAAAATAAATGTCAAATTAACCAATGCGCAAGCGTCAAGACCAATTTCGATGTCGAAATTTGATCTCGACAGAGCTTGTCTAGTCGAAATCAATTTCTACACAACATTCCGATAGTAAAGGTCGAGATGAGTTACAGAATACCGATTCCTACAATTCCGATCCGACTTGCTGACCTCTACTCGATTTGACTCATTTCTATTCGATTTGTAGTTACAGAATAGGGCTGAATATGTTACACAATGTCTAAATTAAAATCTAATTATATTTTTTGATATAAGTGTTCATCTCTAAGGAATTGTAGCACAGCTTTTATTTGGTCAGGGTTGTTTAGGATATCTCGTACTTCACTTTTGAGTTTGTATTGTAATCTTCTGGCCCGAATGTGGAAGGCATTCAGTGAGAATATGTTTGATTGTCAAATATGATTGTCAGCTTTGACATGAGGGACGGATGCTAGAGGACATTAGGTAGCTGTGTGTGAGTTTTGAATGTCCTATCCGAAGTTGTCTTATCACAATGAGATCTCGTCTTGAGAGGGCTGAATAGTCAAATGTAGGCTGACTGGTTCTTCTTTTAGTATATGATTTTAGGTCCTTACAAATTGGAATTTTATCGGTAATTTTAGGTGATGCTGTAGCAAGTTTAGCATAGTGATCTGCAGTTTCATTGCCTTCTATACCAATACGAGATGGCAGCCAAATTATGGTAACTGTTATGTTTTGGGACAAGATAATTTGGTAAGAGTCTAGGATCTTTTGGACGATTGGATGATCGGTAAATATATTTTTGATAGAATGGATTGATGCTAAAAAGTCTGTGCATATGGCAACCTGCTTATTAGATAGAGATATATGGTTAAAAGCTTGCAATATACTAAATTATTCGCCAGTATGAACGCTGCTCACGGCTGGTATAAGTGATGACTTAATTAGTGAATGAGAGGTTGTAACAGAGCAGCCTACTCCTGTGTCATTTCATATTATGGTTGTCACATATCATATCAGGTTGTTTTTCTGTCTAGAACTAGGATTACCATATGTATTTTCTAGGAAAGCAATAAGCTGAGTCTCGGTCAAAGTTAGACCAGATGGATTATTTTTATAAATGTCCGCTACGGATTGTAGTGAACTAGCTGTTAGATTATGTTCCTCTGATTTTGTAGTTTTTGTTTTTTTCTTGTGAGGTTTGGAGACAGTGTTTGTTTTTGTGGATAACGGAGAAAGCATTTGGTTAGACGCTGGTTAGGGTGTACTTGCTGAAGATAATAGAGAAGGAATATCAGAATTGCTGTCTGTTGATATAGTTCTTTTTTGTCCTTGTGTGGGTGGAATTGATGGGCGTATAGTTTCAGTATATATTTCAGTAGGGGTTTCTGTGCAGTTTGAGGTAGTTAGGTCTGATTGAACAGGAGTGCTTACGTTAGAAATTATATCAGTAATTTCAAAAGTAGAGAAGTTTGAGAAAAAGTAGTTGGATTATTGGTACATGAGTCAGCGGTATGTCCGACCTCTTTACATAAAGAACAATGCAATTTATCCGTAGAAATAAATATTCTATAAGATGGGTTTTCGTATGTAATAACGAAGTTTCTATCTACTGAAAAATTCTCCTTATCGGGGATAATATACGTTACTCTTCGGAAGCTCATTATGTGTACATAACCTTCTCCGAGTGCACCACATTTCACAAATGACACAGGAGAGACTAGCTGTAATCCAATCTCTTTACGGGCTTTCTCAATTATGAAATGTGGAATTGAAGGAGATAGGTTAGATATAAGAAGGCGTTTAGCTGGGATGATAAGTCTTCTGATGGGAACTACTGTAGAGTTGATAGAGATATTTTGATGTGATTTTAGAAGGTTATCGACAACTGTAGGCGAGGAAAGATAAATACAGATTCGGTTATTTGGGATACGTGAAGCAAAGGTAATATTTTTTGGGATAATAATGCTGCTAAAGCTATAGCTTTAACATAGTCAAATAATACAGTATTTGGAATACCGTGCATTAAACTGGCTTGCTCCTTACGTGGGAAAGTAGGAGGTGGAGGTTTAGACAAAGTAGCAGCAACATATGATTTCGTGGGGTGGACTTGTGGAGTTATGACGTTTTGATTTGAGTTCATTTTTGTGAGTGTTCCTAGATACCATAAACACTCCACTTAATTATTAATATTGCAACAGACGTCCTAGTAGGACACTGTAGATAAAATAATAGGAATATAACAGTTACCTGTATCTGCAGTTTTCCGTCAGTTGAATATAATAATATTATAGTCCAATAATAATCGCTGTTTCCATAACACACAAACTAATTCGAATTATCACATAATTATTACTATAAAGACTATACCGAAAAGGCAAGTTTTAATTTATAATTTTTAGTCGTTGGCTACCTGAATGGGAATGCAAAATATTTGTACACGATTTAAAGCAAGATTATTATTTCTTTATATTGTATATTATACGAATATACTTCATCGTTATATATTTTGATAAAAGAAGGTTAAGTCAGTAGTGGTGTTACAAATATTGATGTATCTACCTAGTTCAGTTTTTCAGAGCAGTTATTTTAAGTTTACAGAATGCTAAAGGTCATTAAAACATACGAAATATCAACAAAAGAAATTAAATGACGGTTAAAGATTAAAACTAGCCACAGTAAAGTATACAAGACAACTTTAATACGATTGATGCAATGAAATATGAGTTTATTAAATTTAATTTAAAAAAAAAGCACAAGAAAGGGATCCTGGCCTATTCTAATTCTAAGATTCGTGCCATTATGTTTGGTTTCTGGCGACTGTTGCCATCTTATGATTTTTAATATCCTTAAGTCGGTCTCAATTCCATCTAACCACCTAATTCGCGGTCGGCAACTGCTTCTGTTTCCTACAGGTGTTTCTGTGGTTAGCTTTTTAGCCGTATCCTCTGGCATTCATATTATGCGTGCAGCCCATTTAAGTCGCTATGTTTAATTGAACGTTACGACGCCTGGTTCATTAAAGAATTGGTATAATTCGAAATTATATCTTTTGCGCCACTGCCCTTGGACGTTTATCATCATCAGTGGTATTACAGCTCGTCATGAGCCAAAGCCTTCTTCTAGAACAATCTTACATTCTGACCTGTCTCTGGCAACTCTTCTCCATGCTTTTACTCCGATGGATTTTAGATCATCCTCTATGTTATCTTGATGCCTAAGTTTTGGTCTTCCTCTGGATCGTCTTCCCACTGGTCCTCTTCGGTCGAAAAATTTTCTGATCGTTGCATCTTCATCTCGCCTAATTACTTGTCCTATCCATCGAAGGCGTGCTAATTTAATACATTTTGACGCCAGGTTTCAAAAACTTCTGTATAACTCAAAGTTGTAGCCTACCACAAACCCTGTTCTTGGACACCTCCATATATTTTCCTCAGATTTTTTCTCTCGAAACGTTTAAGCAGTTCTTGGTCGTTCTGTGTCAGTGACCACGTTTCTGACCCGTATGTTAACACTGGCCTTATTAGTGTTTTATATATGGTAATTTTAATTTTTCTGGGTAGTTTTGGAGCCATCTGTTTCCTCAAGCCATAATAGCACTTAATGGCAAGCACTATTCTGCTTTTAATTTCTTCGCTGAAATTGTTGTCTTTGGTTAACAGCGAGCCCAGGTAGACGAAGGTGTCCACACCTTCCAGTTCCAGATCATCAATTAATAGTCTAGGTATTTGGTTGCTTGATCTAGTACAATACATATACTTGGTTTTCTGTGCATTTATTTTTAATCCAATTCCCAGTGCAGTGCCCTTCATGATCGAAATGCTCTCAGAGACCTGTGGACCTAGCAATAATGTCCATGTCATCTGCATATCCGACCACTTATACAGATTTATTAAAGATGGGTACCATTCGTCTTCTTCAGAAGAAATTATACAGATAACACAAGAATATTATAAAAACCTCTACAATACAAAACAGAAACCAACCCAAGAAATCCTTAAGCAACAACAAATAAAAATAAAAAATGTTAATTCCGACTTACAACCAGAAATCAGTAAGAACGAGATAAGAAGAGCACTCAAAGAAATGAAGAATAATAAATCGCCAGGAAAAGACGGGGTGACTGTAGAAATGCTAAAACATGGTGGGAAAACAACTAGAGAAGTTTTGTACATACTTATGAATAAAATACTAATGACAAAACAAATACCCAATAGTTGGAACGAAGCAATAACACTGTTACTATTTAAGAAAGGAGATAAAAAGGATCTACAGAATTACAGACTCATAACTTCACTAAAATATGTGATGTACAAACTATTAACCAAAATATTAACAAATAGATTAACAACTACATTAGATGGATACCAGGCAAGAGAACACGCCGGATTTAGAAAGAGCTTCAGTACAAGTGACCACCTTTTAACGATGAAGGCATTTATTGCATTTATTGACTTCGAGAAGGCATTTGATAGTGTGGGACACTGGGCAGTACAGAATTCCCTACAAAACAGCAGAATAGACTACCGATATACCGACTTAATTACAAATATATATACAACAAGGCAACAACAACTGTTAAGTAATACCTAAAGACGAGAGTCTTCAATCAATGTATACTCCCTGTCCTCTCATATGGCTCTCAGACATGGACGTTTACAAAGGAAAATATGGAAAAAATAGCAAAGACAGAAAGATCCATGGAAAGACAAATGCTGAACATTAAACTATCAGACAGAAAAAGAAACGAATGGATCCGTAATAAAACAAAAGTGAAAGATGTCTCAACCCAAGTAGTAAAGCTTAAATGGAAGTTCGCCGGAAACACCCTAAGGCAGAAAGATGAAAGATGGACTAAGACAATTATACATTGAAGACCATGGAATCACAAACGAAAAAGGGGAAGGCCACAAATGCGATGGTCAGATGACTTGAAGAAACACGCCGGGTCAAAATGGATGCAGATTGCCCAAGATAGAGAGGCATAGAAAAGGAGGAGGAAGCCTATATCCAAGGATGGATGTTTAGGGCTGTATAGATAGATAGACCATTCGTATTAATATGGCACTCTCGAATTACTTTTTTTATTGCAAAGTTAAATAAGAGGCACGACAGTCCATCTCCCTGTCTCAGTTCATTTTTACAATGGAAGGGTCTTGATAAGTCGTTTTGGATTCTGACTACACTCTCTACGCCTGTGAGTGTAAGTTCCTTTAGTTGAACAAGATGAAGCGGCATTTGAAATTCCACCATAGCCTATAAAAGTTTTTGTCTGTTGACTGAGTTGTATGCGGCTTTGAAATCCACGAATATGTGGTGTGTGTCGACTTCGAACTCAAGCGTTTTCTCAAAAATCTGCCTGACTGTGAAGATTTGATCCGTTGTTGATTTATTGGGTCGGAAACCGCACTGATAGTTCTCAACTATTTGTTCAGCATTGGGGATCAATCTTCTGTACAATACGTTGGACAATACTTTATATGCCACGTTAAGTAGGGTGATGCCTCTATAATTATCACACACCATCATATCTCCTTTTTTGTGAAGAGGGTGCATTACACCTAATTTCCAGTCTGCGGGCGTTTCCTTCCGTAGCCGTATTTCGGTTACTAATGTATGCATGTGTTTAAGAAGGGTGTCAGCACTATTTTTAAAGAGTTTGTCAGGAATATTGGCCAAACCAGGGGCTTTGTTATTTTTCAGTTTTGAAATGGCTTCTCTAATTTCTTCTTCGGTGGGGGGCGGCTCTTGAGCGTTTTCATCCATTTCAGGCAAGGTAATTTCTATTTGGTCTTCTTCACGACTGTCGCAAAGCAGTTCTTCAAAATGATTCGCCAACGTGTTTAGTATCTGTTCTTTGTCACTAGTTATGGAACCATTTCTGTCTTTACATGCTGCTATTCTGGGTTTGAATTCTTTTCTGCAGCTGTTTATCTTCTGGTAAAATTTTGGCGAGTCTTGCAAATAACCAACGATGGCAAATTAGACGAAGAAATTAAACATGGAAATAACCACTGAAGACAGTCCATTAGGCAATTAAACAGTGTACTGTAAGACAAAACAATCTCCAAAGAAAACAAACAAAAAATCTATAACAGCATTATAAAAAGCATTGTTACATATGGAAGTGAGGTATGGCCACTGAAAGGAAAAAACTTAAAAGCATCAAATGCAGCAGAAATGAACTTCTGGTGAAGAGCGGCTGAAATATCAAGATTAGATAGAGTTAGAAACGAGATTATGGGTGTTAAGCACAATATAACAGAGGACATCAGAATAAATCAACTAAAATCATATGGACACGTCCAAACAATGAATGAACACAGAATACCAAAGAAAGTATTGAACTGGACACCGCATGGAAGAAGAAAGCAGGGCAGACCTAGATTAAGTTGGAGAGAAGGAATTGATAAAGACTTAACAGAGAGAAGTTGAAGAAAACCTTTGGAACGACAGAGATAAATAAAGACTGGAAATCAGAAGACGGCGTAGAATGTTATAAACTGATTGATTAATTGACTAACAACGATAAACGAGAAGTAAACAAGTAGATTATTATTGGGCTGCGTCCAATGCTAGTTGGTTACCTGTCTATAAACCGTTGAGAGGGCATCTATGAGGATAGTTTAGACAGACTAGTAGATTTATGTCCTGTATTGTTCCGCAATCACACTTTTCGTCATTTATGTTTAGCAAGCCTCATTGAATTGGTCGATGCTATACCAGTTTTTAAGCGGTTCAGCATGTGCCATGTCGACCAGTTACTTGAAATCTCACTTTGTGGAGTTTTTTTATTAGGAATAGGCTGGTGGTTCGTCTAACAAGGTGCTAAGGAAGCGTCTTCTTGATTTTAGCAAGGATGAGGTTCGTGGCCAAAAAGAGAGTGGTAGTTGGCGAAAGTTTTTTCGGATTTTTCGGCGAATTCGTGGGAGTAAGGATCTGAGAGATCTGCAGCTTTATAGTTTATTCAGAGACGTTGGTCTCATAGAGAAAGCGGTATGGACAAGTCTTTTAAAGAATAAGATAATTTTAACGATCAATTGAGTCCAAGAGAGAAAAAGATCTCAGATGAGACATAATGATGATCAAGAAAAATCGTAGAACAAAATGGATTACAAGAGCGTTAGATAAGAAGCAGTAGAAAACACAAGAAAATACCAACCTATAGCTAAAAATGGATATTTTAACGATTTTACTACAATGTTACAATACTCAATGTCATGCTAAATCAAGATGGCTATTTGTTGTGATTCTGAGGCTGTTATCTTGTGGCATTTTTGTTATTTACTATCTTTAATGGAAATTAACTACAATTTTAGTTGAAAATATGTTTATTTTGAGTTCCAATTTCCACTTCTGAAATCCTTCTTTTCTTTATATTATTTTTTAGGCGGACATAACCAAATTAGATTTCCATTATTACCTGCCCATGTTCTTCGAAGGCCTCGTTGAGACAGAACACCCTTACAAATTATTCGCTCAGCAAGGAATTCACGATTTACTGACGCATGGAGGAAACAAAATTTTTCCGTGTATTCCTCAGCTAATTATACCAATCAAGGGTGAGTAACAACGTATTATTTTGTACGAGGAACAAATAAAACAAGCCCAAAAATAAAAATATTTATAAATTTAGTGTTGCGTCAATGAAATTATCCAAACCGGGAGCTTTGTTATTTTTCAATTTTAAAATAGCTTCTCTAATTTCTTCTTAGTTAGGGAGTGCCTGCCGATCATTTTCATTTATTTGAGTCATAAGTCTTCTTCTTCTTCTTCCTTCTCGTATGTAAGCTTTAAAGCCTGTTTCTTCTTCAATATTAGCCTCCTAAATTGTTTAAATTATCGCAACATCTTTTTCTTGGTCTGCCAATACTTCTTCGTCCATATGGTGACTTACCTCGTGATATTTGTACTATCCTATATTCTGCCATTCTACGCGTGTGTTCGTTTCAGTCCTGTTTCCATTTTGTCACCCATCTATTTATGTCTTCTATATTGCATACTCTTCTTATGTTTCCGCTTCCCTCCCTATCCAACAGACTTTTCCCTGATATTCTCTCCACACTCTTACATGTAAGACTTTCGAGATTCCAAAACCCCATCCTAATTTTTCTAACCCATAATGGTGTTCCCTCTGAAATAGTCCTCATGCGGAAGATTTAACCTCAGGAGATGCTTCGTTCTTCTATTAGTGTCTTTCCAAATTGTAACTTTTTAATTTCTCCAGCTACATATCTAAGTTTCCCTTCTCCGTATGAATCTTCTCTAATATTCTACCTTTCTAAAAGAAGTGTTCATTTCGACATGTGTACTTGTGTCTTGTGTCGCTTTTAACTTTTTTTCAACTTTTTTCCGTTTTTTCATTATCCATATTCTTTTCTGAGCCTGTTTCATCAACAGTTTTCCATTGGTAAAATTATTTTTTAGTTTTTTTGTGCTATTTTGATTATTTTACCAGCTTTGTAGTTCGACTACCGTTCGCTGTTAGTTACCCATATTTTTTGCCTACATCTTGACTTCATCAGGAATGCATATATTAGACCTCTATAATTGTTGGGGTCTTTTTTTTCTCCTTTCTTGAACAATGGTATCATTATGCTGTTTCTTCATGAGTCGGTATCTTGCAGTGCAATATTAATTTTTGTATAAGTTTTGTCATCTCTAGTGTTATACTTTCTCCTCCGTGTTTTAGATGTCAGTTTTTCCAGTCATCTTTCAGTCATAAGTCAATTCTTCAAAATTATTCACCCATCTATTAAGTTTCTATTCCTTGCCACTAATTACAGAACCATGCTGTTACTCTGAGTTTGAGTTTCTTTCCACAATTGTCTATTTATTGGTATGTGCCTCCTAAACCTTATTTTCCATTCGATCCTCTTCTTTGCAACATGGCCAGCTTGCCACACCTATTGTCTTGGCATCCTATTCTACACCATTCATACATTTCAACCTTGTTCTACCTCTCTAGTTGTCTTGGATTTCGCCAATAGAATACGTCTTACAGGGTAGCTTCCATTTGTTCTGCTAGATATCCTACTGACTAAAATGGCAGTAACTACAACTTTAAGAACATCTTTGGACCAGCGCTTGATGGAGCAACAGGACAATATATGATAAGAACTAACAAAAAACTGGAAGAACCATGTGCAGACGCCAATATAATAAAAAAAATACCCAGAAGACTTTAGTAGGTAGGACACATTAGAAGATATTCTGACGAAAGAGTAATAAGACTGATATGGAAAAAAGCCTCAACTGAAAGAGGACCACGATGACGACCTCGACTCCGGAGATTGCTCAAGATAGAAAGGACTGGAGACATGTTGTTAAGTCAGCTAAAACCCACTTAGGGTTGTAATGTGACGAAGTAAGTAAGTTCCTTCGGTTGTTTTGTTAAATAAAAAGAAAATATCGATGCGAGAAGAAGGTGGCAAACAAGAAAGATAAAGACCAAATACGACATGGTTAGAAGATGTAAAAGCTGATATCAGATCATTACAAGTAAAGGTTGATAATAAGAAAACACGAAATAAGAAACACTGAACAAAGTGTTTTGCTGTACAAGCCTTAAATGTAGGTTTTTATATGTATATCTTCTTTTCTTCTTCTTCTTCTTCTTGTATTTGGCTTTAAAGCCTGTTTCTTCTTCAATAGTATCTTCGTAAATTGTTTAAATTATCCACCACCTTTTTCTTGGTCTGCCAATACTTCTTCGTCTATTTAGTGACTTATCTCGTGCTATTCGTACTAACCTATCATTGCCATTCTACTGTGTTCGTTCTACTCCTGTTTCCGTTTTGTCACCCATCCATTTATGTCTTCTATATTGCATGCTCTTCTTGTGTTTTCGCTTCTCAAACTTTTCCCTGATATTTGTCGGAGGATTTTCATCTCTGTTGTTTTAATAGTCGTCTCGTATTAGATGTGTCAGGTCTTGTCTCCGCCGTGTATGTTAATATAGGTCTCATTGCTGCTTTATAGATTCTTGGTTTTGTGTCTTATCTTAGGTGTTTGTTCTTCCAGATTGTTTCATTAAGAGATGCCGCCGCTTTACTTGCTTTTAAGCTTTTTTGTCGTACTTCTTCTTCAACATCTCCGTAACTAGTTATATCTATTCCCAGATGTCTAAACCTTGCTTCCTGCTTTATTATTTTCCCATCAATTTCGATTTTACATCGTATTGGCTATTTAGATGTTGTCATACATTTGTTTTTTTTCTGCTAATATTATCATATTGTATTTTTTACTGTTGTATTGAAGATATGTGTTAACCTTCGGAGTACGAAGACTGGGTCAAGCGTGGCCCGAAATTCACTTATTTCTTAATATTTCATGAAATAATTTTTTTACAAATCTGATTGTTCGTAAGTTCTCCTTATTTGTTTCAATCTATTTTTTCGTGTATCATTCGTGAACATGCAAATTGCAGTTTTTCCTCTACGTAAAATCTATGATGTCCGGTCAGTCCTGACCCGGTCTTCGGATTTTGAAGAATTTTTCAATGTGTTTGTAGGTACACGTAAAACGCAGCCGTCTCTGTTTTCCAGTAAACGTATTCAAGGCAAAATGATTATGTTTGTAGAAATATTAGTAGATAGAAGTTAACCTTGGGAGTAACGTGGTGTTTGTAGGTACACGTAAAACGCAGCCGTCTCTGTTTTCCAGTAAACGTATTCAAGGCAAAATGATTATGTTTGTAGAAATATTAGTAGATAGAAGTTAACCTTGGGAGTAATGTAGTCTAATAGGCATATTCTATGGGAACGTCCGAGACGAGAGGTCTAACTTTGGTGTAAAGCGGTATTTCACGTTTGTTGATCAATTTAATTCAAGCATCGATCTTGAAGTGTGCAGTATTATATCAAAATGTGGAAAAAGAATAAACCTTTGAGTGAAGCTGAGTTGTATGCCTTACTCCTATCAGATAGTGAAGAAGATGATGTTGCAGAGCTGGATGAAAGCAATAGTGAAGCGAGTGATAATGACGGTTGTGAGCCAGAAGCACATGAAGGTAATTTATCAATTACTGAACTCGAGAATGAGGAAGTTTTAGCGACAACTTCTGAAAATATAGATAGTGAAAGATCTAGCGTATCTGATGTTTTGTGCGAAGGACGAACATGGCGTTATTTAGCTCCAAAAAAGGGTAAGACATTGGCATGTAATTTATTACAGAAAAACGTAGGTCTAACTAAGAAAAGTCAAAATATTGAGACATGCATGGATGCCTTCAATTTATTTTTTTCTGATAGTATAATGTCAATGATTCTTGAGTATACCAATAAGAGAGCTATTGAGTTCATAGCTGCGTATAACAGTAAGAACGAGAAAAAAATGAAGGATTGGATTGAAGTTGATCTAGTCGAACTGCGTGCTTTTTTTGGTATACTTATATTATGTGGAAGGTTTAGAGAGTCCCATGAGAAGGTGCATAATTTATGGTCCAATACAAATAATGCATTTAGCGTCCTATATATAAAGCATCTCTAAGCCGGGATAAATTTATAAGTATTTTGAAGCATATTCGCTTTGATAATTTGGAAACTAGAGCAGAAAGAAGAGAACGAGATAAATTAGCTCCTATTCGAGAAATCGCTGATCTATTTGCCTAAAATTGTAGGGAATCATACGAACCATCTGCTTTTGGTACTATTGACGAGCAGCTTATAGATTTTAGGGGACGTTGTCCATTTCTGATTTATATACCAAGTAAACCAAAGAAATACGGTATAAAGGCTTGGACCCTATGTGACGCTGAAAATTTTTATTGCTGTAACTTTGAGATATATACTGGAAATATTGGCGATCAATCTGAACGTAACCAAGGCCCAAGAGTTGTCAAAACACTTGCAGAACATTGGTATAGGTCTGGTCGAAATATTACAACTGATAACTTTTTTACCGATATTGCTTTATCTGAAGAACTGTTAACCAAAAATTTAACTCTTTTGGGTACTATCAGAAAAAATAGGAAGAGTTTACCCAAATCATTGCTTGAAATGACAGATCGCTCACTGTATTCTTCAAAATTTTTGTTCACTAAAAACATTACCTTAGTTTCATATGTAACCAAGCCTAATAAGTTTGTTGTATTATTATCGACCTTACACAATGAACATAAAATTTCTGAGGAAAACCAAAAATTTAAATCAAAGATTATTTTGGATTACAACAAAACCAAAAGTGGAGTCGATATTTTAGATAAATTGATCAGAGAGTACACATGTAAAAGAGCAACAAGAAGATGGCCCTTACGTATATTTTTCAACTTTTTGGATATTGCGTGCTACAATGCTTTCGTTCTCTGGAATGCGAAAAATCCTGAATGGAACAGCCAAGTAAATATAAAACATCGCAGAAAACTATTTCTGCGATGTTTTATATGTTTATATGTTTCTTTGTTTTTTTTTTTTTTTGTTGAATTAAAGATACTGTTTAATAATACTGACTATTTAAAACATATGAAATCGTAGGCTTCCACGGCCAGAGTCAGAATTCCGGATTCACTCCCCGTCTCTCGACGCGTTAGTGTTCTGAGCTGTTGGACGTGAATCCCTGTCCTGGCATTTATTTTTCACCTCTGGCTGCGTTGAGTAGTTGAGTTACTGTGACCAAATGCCCATCTTGGTAGTTAGTATTCGCTCTGGTTGCGTTGAGTAACTGAGTTACCGTTGCTAACTACCATCTTCCTGTCTTTTGTTTTCTTTTTCTTTGTTCTCCTGAAGAAGCTACATACAATTGTAGCGAAACGTCGAGATGAACCCACTTTTGGGTCACTCACAAATGACACGGTCCAAACCGGAAGACGACTAAACTATTATTTAAAACATTCTTATAAATAGAATGAGGATGGGTCACGCTTGACCCATCTTCGTAATCTAAGTAAGTCAAATAATCTCCGTACTCCGAAGGTTAATCTTTGGGGCTCTTCTTCTGTCTCATCGATTAATGCGGCATCGTCTGCATAATATAATATTTGGATTTCTTTGTTCCCCATTCTGTAACCATGACCTTTACGTACTTGCTTGTATTATTTCTCACCCTGTCTGACTCCGCTTTGTACTGGTATACACTATGTTAGTTTTCCATTTATCTTTGCCCGTTTGTATATCTTCTTTTATCATTATTATTGCTCAGCTTTGAGAAAGCTAACACATTCAGAAAGCATATTGTACCATATGCTACACCATACGCCAAAGCATATTTTGAAGCTATTTTATCTTTTTTACTATAACTTTATAGAATTCTACCAATAATAATCTACTATATGTTGCAGATGCTTTAAGAACAAAAAACAATGAAGTTATGTGCAATACGTTGCGCATTTTGCAACATTTGGTTAAATCAGGAGACATGATTGGAGAAGCTTTAGTACCTTATTATCGACAAATTTTACCCAGTCTTAATATTTACAAAGAAAAGAATGGTAAGTTGAAATCTCATTTTTGAGCATGTTTTTTTAATTTGTTTGTTGTATTATGCCTGCTACACTTTATTTGCTATTGAGAGAAAGTTATAAATACTAATATCTGTATGCAAAAAGCTCACAAAGTTTTTCTTTGCTCTATAACGTCCCAATACAGTGAAAATCGAAATATAATTGGCGATTATTATTTGTATACTTATATGTGGAGATTAGAGTCGGAAGTTTCAAAAACATCATAAAAAATGCAAGAAAAAATTAAGAAATAAAAATTAACCAATTAATAAAAAAAATGAGCAACTTGACAGATGACATGTAGAAAATAAGGCCAAAAACAACAAAGAAACAATAAAAATAGTCATTATGTAGGACAGAGTTAAGAAAAAATGTGAGGATTAAACAAAAAACGATGGACATCAAGAAAGAAGTTAGAGGAATAACAGAAACAATGGAAATAATTATGGAAATATACAGAAAAAGGAAATACCGTAGTTATGGGAGGACAAGGATAGAAATATATGAGCAAATAATGTTAAAAAATTTTATCAAAAAACATACTGGACTAGAAAGTTAAAATATAAAATGCAGTAGGCAAAAAAGCACGAATTACAAAACCAGTATGAAAAAAAGAAGAGCATGGAAAAAAGGTCAAGTTACAAAGATATTAAAGAGCATAAAGCATATATCAATGATGACACAACGATAAAAGAAAGGAAATTCTACAAAAAATTTAGATAAATTGCTCAAGAAAAATAAATAAAGATTTTTTCGTCTTTTCTGAGGGACAGGGGAATGACCAAAATGTTTGAAACATACTACCTTGGTCCAAGAAAGTGGACAGAACCGACTTCCAGCCTCAGTTATAAAGGGTTTCTACAGAGTGGCCTCGATTATATCAGATACTGCACGCAAGGGTTGTTCGGACATCATCGGCGTCAATGCCAGAGGCCTACCTGCTAAAAAAATACCCTCCTCAACCATGAATTAGCGGCCGGACCGCCCTGATTGGGACACAACGTCGGCACGGCATTCACCTTGTCTCCGATTCATGCACAGTCATTCATTCATTCGCGCTTTCTCACTATGACTGAATCCTTCTCTCTCTCTCTCTCTCTCTCTCTCTGTGTGTGTTCTTCCCTGTTCATGTTTAATCTCGCCACCTCTGATTCCGTCTTATCTTCTTGTTTGTTCCTGGGCACCCTGCCTCCCTTTCTGATCGCCTTTGACGACCTACATAAGCCTCTCCTCCACCAGTTTCATGACTGATTGCACCTTACTTCCTAGCTCTCTTTCAAGTAAGCTTCTTTGGACTATCTATCTATCGCATACCAATATAATGTGTGAGATTGTGTCCGATATTTGCCATTTTTTGCCTCTCCAAATCTGTAGAGGTATGCCTTGAAACAACCATGTACTATGAGCATCTGCGTCAGGAAGTAATCCAAACATTGATGCCCGTAGTCCATCCATCTTCTCAGATAAGGAATCAGCAACGTCGTCCAATGCGCCACTATTTTCATCTCGTCTCATTCGTCTTGAAAGACCATATTGGACCTATCTCTTTCTACTTTTTTTAAACGTTCTATTGTCTTCTATGTCTTCATTTTGTCTCTCGTATACTCTTTCTCTTTCCTTCACTAATACTTGCATCGGAATACACCCGGTGATAACTGCACGGCTTCGGCAGAGACTGTTATATATGCACATGCCAGTCTCAACAGACTCTTCCAATCTGCTCGGGTGAGCTGCCTTTTGTACACCTTTGTTAAAACTGCAGTACCCCAATCAGTCACGAGGACGATCCATTGCACAAATTAATTAAGTGTCCTCCTCCTCTCAGTTTTGGGTCTTTCGGTATTAGGCATGCTCTAGTGCATTCATGTGTTCCAAAAGCCATGTCGGCTCCAGACTGTCTATGTGTTTTACCGGTTCTGGCGGTATCCATTCGAGTCCCGGAGCATTTCGTGACTTAAGGGCACTCAGCGCTTCATTGAGTACGTCTATGGTAAATCAGCTTCGGCGTCCCACTGCACTCTTTGCCGCATGGAAACAGCTCTCGGGCAATCTCAAGCTTCCTGTCCAATGACATCTCATACAGAAGGTACAGCTTTATTATGATTTTGTACCCCTGGCCCCAAACGTCATTATTTGACTTGTCACACAATTATCTCCAGTACTTCTTCTTCTCGGCTCGGATCTTCCTGTTCAGTTCCTATTTCGCGTATTATATACCATATACAGTCTGCTGCTTCGATTACTTCTCCTCTACCTCTTGCCCTCGTAACCTCTTTTGATGGCAATGCATTCCTGATGAAGTCAAGATGGAGGCAAAAAATATGGGTAACTAACTAAATGAAAGCGAATGGAAGTGGAACTACAAAGCTGGTAAAATGATCAAAATAGCACCAAAAAAACTAACTTTACCTTTACCAATGGAAAAATGTTGATGAAACAGGCCCAGAAAAATAATATGGATAATGAAAAAACAGAAAAAAGATGAAAAAAGTTAAAACCAACACAACACACAAATATACATTTTGAAATGAACTCTTTGAATTAGAGAAGATTCATATGGAGAAGCGAAACTTAGATATCTAGCAAGAAAAATCAAAAAGTTATATTCAAATTATGAATGTGTTGCTTGTGTGAGTCCATATCAAATAGGTAAAGAAATAATAATAAGACTTACTCACAATCAATTTAATTTAACAATCTGACGACCGGTTTCGCTTTCTACAATTTGCAAAGCATCCTCAGGTCCAGATACAAAGTTAAACTAATGCTGCAATAAAATAAACCCAATTAGGGTGGTGTCTAATAAAGATAAAATAAATAAATAAGTTAGTTCATACAAATCATAGTAATTATGCCAATATTACATGTCTGTGGTTTTCAAAATGAATAAATTTGAATATATAAAAGGTATTAACAGACAAGGTAAGACCCACAATTGGTATAAAGTAGTAATATTATATTGTAATAAATTAATAAATGAGCAGATAAGTAAAACAAAACAAACATTACTTACATGCCGGTACTCTATTAATTGATGGATGGTAGGTCATGGTTGCAAAAATCATGTATTGTTGATTGGAGAACTTTAATGTGCTATTGCAGTTGTTTTTACAACTGTTTCGACCAGTTCGAACAGTTTTGACAACTGATTAAAGTTCTCCAATCAACAATACATGATTTTTGCAACCATGACCTACCATCCATCAATTAATAGAGTACCGGCATGTAAGTAATGTTTGTTTTGTTTTACTTATCTGCTCATTTATTAATTTATTACAATATAATATTACTACTTTATACCAATTGTGGGTCTTACCTTATCTGTTAAACCTTTTATATATTCAAATTTATTCATTTTGAAAACCACAGACATGTAATATTGGCATAATTACTATGATTTGTATGAACTAACTTATTTATTTATTTTATCTTTATTAGACACCACCCTAATTGGGTTTTATTTTATTGCAGCATTAGTTTAACTTTGTATCTGGACCTGAGGATGCTTTGCAAATTGTAGAAAGCGAAACCGGTCGTCAGATTGTTAAATTAAATTGATTGTGAGTAAGTCTTATTATTATTTCTTTACCTATTCAAAAAGTTATAATTTGAAAAGACACTAATAGAAGAACGAAGCATCACCTAATGTAAAATCTTTTATCTTTCGAATGAGGACTACTTCAGAAGGAACACCAATATAGATTAGAACAATTAGGATACTGTTTTGAAATCTTGAAAGTCATACAGGTAAGAGTGTGGAGTTAGTAGATGTACTTAGAATAGTGCTTTCATTCAAGAGACTAAGTGGAAAGAGCAAAGGGTGAAAGAACTAGGTGAATGATACAAATTGTAGTATGTACCTTGGGCAGCTCATCATACAAACGTTTCCATTATTAACCAACTTTAGATTAAAAATGGCTGTTCACAACAAATTTACAATTCAGCGGGCAACTCAATCTGTGAAACTCTTAGAGCAGCTATATGTAGGGACCAATAGAAATAAATGCATTAAAAATATTGGAGAAAATACGAATACGAGAATATTACGATCTGAAGTAATGGTGAAACGGCAAGAAAGAAGTCCATTTCATATATTTTTTACAAAAACTCAAAGTTTTGTTTTTATTTTAACAAATTCGTTACCAACTTCCCTTTCCATCGATACCTCACACGTTGTTGTACGCTGACCCCGTTTGGACGTTGCATCCTTCTGGCGTTGTCTTTTGCGTTTTGTTTTTTGTCTTAAATTACACGTCGGGGCGTGGGGTATGAGGTTACGTAAGCTTGATAGACAAAAAGAAGAAAAATTGACGCAATCTTTACGTTTGAGGGATGACAGACGAAAAGAATTGACGCTATATTCACGTTTGACGGAAGACAGCTGTCAGCTTTTTTGAAATTTGATCTTTTTTCTAGTCAGTTGTAGAAAATTTTCAGGTGTTCTGACCAGACCAGTTAACAGTGATTGATTGTTCTCTCTCTACAACAAATAAATAGCCCAAAACAGAGACAAAAAATAAACTTTCATAAATCACTCTTGAATTTTAAACAATGAACATCTTTTGGTTTCAGTAAACTGTGGAGACGAAATCGATTACAGCCAAATGAGAGGGGACAATTTAGCAGATGCCGTGAACGAGACGTTGCAGGTGTTGGAACGATACGGCGGCGAAGATGCGTTCATAAATATCAAATATTTAATACCAACTTACGAATCGTGTATGCTAAATTAAATTTAGTCCGACGTGATCTTTTTTATTCTTATACATAATGCACTTTTAATATCATTTTTAATGTAATTATCATTTTTTGTAAACTTTCAAGATAATACAAAAACTCTACACGATTTCAGATAGTTATTATTTTGTATTGGTATTATGATTGTATATATTGTTGTGCTCTATTTTGAACTCTATTTATGATTGTGGATGTAATCTACTTTAATTAATTAATCAAGTAGGGGAGAAGGTGGGAATGTCCCACCTTCGTACTACGTACTACGTCCCGTTTGATGTCATTGCCTCCTCGGAGCCCTCCCGAACTAATCGGAAGCATAACTGTGTCGATATTTAGCATCGGTCGGCGGTTCTGACAGAAAACGTGAAATTTTGTGATTTTACTGTAATATTTTTGTCGCAAATATCTGAAGGTAAGTTGTAATAACGTTATTTTGTAGTATTATATCATATACTTATTCGATGAGATGTGTCTTGGATGTATATTAGCATGAACACTATTTACTTATTGTAACCTAGAAAAATTGTGTCACCATATTTGTTGAAGCTTTCAGTTTGGGGCAATTCCGCTCAAGCTGATCGTGATTACCCCGTTAGAGAGCGGCATTGCCCCAACTGGTATTTTGCTGTTAATCTTAAAAATTATGATTAATTATACATAATTATTTGGTTTCAGATGGTTCGTAATAGAAAAAGGACAACCACTAAAGCACAATGGTCACCAGAAGTAATGATAGCTGCCATAGAAGCTGTGAGGTCCGGAAGAAAAATTAGGGAAGTGACACGTACTTTCCAAGTGCCATACAGTTCCCTTCGAGATAGACTTAAAGATAATTATTATGACCCTCGACTCGGAAGAAGGTCCACATTTTCTTCTACAGAACAAGAAAGGTTAATTCAGAGTCATGTTTTAAAATTATCAAATCAATTTTACGGACTCACAGCTCTTGAATTCAGAAAGATTGCTTTTCAATTTGCGAAAGCAAATAACATAAAAAATATGTTTAATGAAGCAACTCAGTTAGCAGGGAAAGATTGGCTACATAGATTTTTAAAAAGAAATCCACAAATTAGCCTTAGAAAGCCAGAGGCAACTAGTCTTAACCGAGTTAAAGGGTTTTCTAAGGAAAACGTAGCAACATTTTTTCGTAACTTGGAAAATGTCATGGAACGCTATAAATTTGATCCTTCATCGATTTACAATATGGATGAGACAGGGATTAGTACGGTGCATAAGCCCATACAAATACTAGCATCCAGAGGACAAAAACAGGTAGGGATAGTGACAAGTGGAGAACGCGGCCAAACCACCACCGTTTGCTGTGCGTTTAGTGCTTCTGGAGCTTTTATTCCTCCCATGTTTATATTCGCAAGGAAAAGAATGACTCCTCAGCTACAAAAAAATGGACCCCCTGGATCAATATACAAATGCTCAAAATCTGGTTGGATCACGGAGGAATTGTTTTGTGAGTGGTTAAAACATTTTACAAAACATTCAAATGCTACAAACGACAATCCCGTTCTTTTGATTACCGACAATCACAGCAGCCATATTTCTCTCGATTGTTACAACTTCTGCCGTGAAAATGGAATAGTTCTACTCTCTATCCCTCCACATACCTCGCATCGACTACAGCCTTTGGATATTTGTTTTTACGGTCCTCTAAAAAAAGCTTACAATCGTGAATGCGATTTATTTATGAAATCAAAACCTTTAGAAAAAATAACAAATTATGAGATTGCTGAATTATTCAACAAGGCCTATGGAAAAGTTGCCTCGATTGAAAAGGCTATTAAAGGGTTTAGTTCTGCCGGTATATATCCTTTAAACCCCTTCATATTCAATGACGATTTTCCAGATTTTAATGATCAAGAAAATGACCATACTGTGGATAACACGACAAATACTGTCGCAGATGAACAGCAGCCTTCTACCAGTAGAACAATTTCCCATTCTGTAAATAGAATAACCAATGATTCATCCAATGATGCAAAATCCTCTAACAAAAATAGCGGAAATGCTGCTACCGATAAACTTCAAGCCCTTGAAACATCATTACATCATATCACACCTCTTCCTACAATACACAATAGAGCAAATAAAAGGCAAGTTGATAGAAAGAAACAGACATCTACAATACTAACATCAACACCAATGAAAGATTTTTTGGAAGAAAAACATAAGAAGAAGAATGAAATAATTGAAAAATAGAAAACCACTAAAATCAAAGAGGAAAAAGTACGCAAAGTGACAAAGAAGGTCAAATTTTATGACAGTTCTAGTGAAGATTCAGATGTCAGCATGACTGGAATTACTGATAACAATGAACCTGACGAGATAGGAGATATGCAAGATACGGAAAATAATATCTGCTTCCTTTGTGGCGAATTCGGTCGAGATCGAGAGTTGTGGTTTCGTTGCGTAATTTGCGGAGGCTGGGCGCATGCAGAATGTAGCGGAGTTAATAAGGCTGAGAGTTATGTGTGCGACAACTGTCAGTGAAAGGATTTTTATTTTTCATTCTTAGTTTTAACTGCTATTTAAACTTTTTGACGCAATTTGTGAATTTTGTTTGGAGTTTAATGTTTATTTTATTCATTTGTTCAATAAATATTTTAATATTAGTTGCTGTTTAGTGTTCTATATTATAACTATCTGTAAATTAATGATCGCCATTACCCCATAGGTGTGGGTAATTGCGCTCAAGGCACTAATTATATTTTGTTGTTTTAACCAACAAACATAAATAATTTTAGTGCAGTTTTCTTAATCAAATGCTAGAAGAATAAGTATTCTTTACTCAAATTAATTTTCAAGGCTTTTTGAATGAAGTAAGTAAATAAAAAACAAGTTTTGGCTTAAGTGAGCGCAGTTCCCCCCTGCTCCCTTAATTATCTAATTAATCAAAACAAATCAAACATAAATAAATTGTATATCTCATTGCTAAATCACACGATCAATACTTACTTTCTTTCGTGGCTTCAAAATATTTCTCAGTGGCTTCCTAATAAGGATAGGAAAAAATGAATAAAATAATACACACAGGAATTTCAATTCTAAACTATAAAAGTCATTTATTTTATCAAACTGCAACAAATGTTTAATATTGTAAAGTTTATTATTTATTCTTCTATCTTTATTTTTATATGACAATTACGAAACTAGGAATCTTATTTTCTTTTGTCTCCAAATTTTGTTTGATATTAAAATTTTATTTTATCAATATTCTCTTATAAAAAAAACTGTAATGTTGTCTAAGGTCCGCTTGCCATTATCCTAATTTCAGTACTGATTTTAGTGCTAAAAATATTAGTTAGTTGCTCGAGTTGATTTAGTATGAATGTATGTTGGTGTTTGCAACTATCTTGATTTTAATTAGCCTGTAGGCATGCGCTCTACCAATTTTTTATTGACAGTCTAACCTATCTGAAGTTTGTTTTATAGTTTTATGATTAGAGTAAACAAAACAAACAGGAGTTTGTACAATTCCGCTTTTATTTCTTCCAAAGCTTTTACTCTTGCATTCCTATTTTTGTATAATTGATGTTTTGGCACATATAAACAAGGATTTGCTTTATATAGTTCGATTAAATTTTCTATTTGCTTTTGACTCCACATATTTAAAAACAAAACATAAACATACGTAACATAACCTCAGTTTTAGTTAATATTGGATCATTTTTAGTACAAGAAATTAGAACATGTTCTAATTTTTAGTACTGAATCTGTGCGCGCACCTAATTTGTAGATACAATATTTTTAGTGCTAAACTCAGTACTGAATTTAGCATAATGACAAGTAACAAATTTTCCTGAGGTTAATGATTTTATAATAGTGAAATGTGTAGTTCAATATGCACTGTGGTATTTAATATGCAAATCATACATTCATGTCATAACAAAATTAAATTGACCTTCGCTGATGATTCGCCAATGTCTTCACACAAACACTTCTCCTTATTTGCTGATGTTGCGATCCAAGGAAACTTAATCACGTTTCCCAAAAATGTCCCTGCTCCTCTGCAATCTCGTTCTCATTTCCCTTGCTCTGCCTCGTACAGTAATCGTTCCGGCTTTCTCCTGATGCAATATTCCAACCTTTTTGAAACACTTAAAAATTACTAGATACTTTAGACTCAAGAAGTTATATCTTTTCTCGACTTGGCCTAATTCCTCGTTCCAACGATATGATACTTGTCACTTGCCTTCCTTACTCATTCATTTCATCCTTCCAAAAACATTCCCCCTCCTGAGTTAATTTTACAACCAATCAAAACAAATTTTAGTCATGACGTATTTTCCACATGACGTATTTTATCTTCCACACAGACGCAACCATGTATCTTGTCTTGGTTGCCGCCTATCTGGAAACCGTTCTTGATAAATTCTAGCTGATAGTAATGAAATTTTATTGCATTCTTCCAATATCCTCCAATATCCAAATCATATCTACCATATTATCAGTAGTAAAATTCATTATCGCTAATTTAAATTGCAGAATTAATAAACAATGTCAAACTGTCAGGTTTTGTTTGTCAAAACCTGACAGTTTGACAAATCAATCATAGCCAACTCACAATAATTATTGGTAAACGTTAAAATATCAACCAAATTAATACTTTGGTGGAAAAATAAAAATATCTAGAAAACTGATAACTTTAGGTATAGGGAGTACTTCATAAAATTTGAAATACGATATGAGTACTTTTCGATAGTGATATAAAATACAGGGTGTAACAATTATTAAAAAACTGCGGTTGCAATAGATGTTAAATGTTTAAACCAGTTATATTTTAATTTAATTTAAAAATACACAAAAAGTTAATCTCAGATCGACTATGATGTTAAAATAACTAACTTTCAGTATAATTTTTTGCTCATTCGACTCATATAATGTATACGGTTCCAGGACGGTTTGTGTAAGTGAATAAAATAATACTGATTAATAAAAAAACCAATGGTTTCATTTTTAGCTCAATTCTTTATTTGCCGATATATCAAAACATCAATTTTATACTTAGGCTATTGTGCTTCTGAGAGACTTATATAATCAAATGAACTAATAGGCATATTAAAGATTATGATGTAAAAATAAAACTTGAGAAGCTTGTTCAGATTTAAGTCGACTTCGTTTCTCGCTGATAAGTTCTCCAGCCTTTGAAAATATTCGCTCGCTTGGAACGGATGTAGCTACAACACATAATCTTCTCCGCATTAGCTTATAAAGGCGAGGATATAATACTTTTCTTTCCTCCCACCATTGCAGTGGATCTTCTGTTCTCCTAAGAAGGGGTTCAGTAATATATTTTTCTACCTCTCTGATACTAGCAGCCACAGGATTTGCCCTACTAGCTAGGAAGTTCTGAACTTTTCTATCGAAATCGTCCCAAATAGATAATACCTTTGATTTAGACTCGGACGGTAAATTAGGTTCAACAAGTAAAGGTGATTGATAAGAGGTATTTGCAGGTACATCAAAATGTGTTATTTTCGACTTTATACTTTTTACAGTATTTTCATATTGATCTTCAGAAGCAAATCCATACTTCTTGAACCGCGGATCAAGAAATGTAGCTTCGCTTGTTACTTCATTGGATTCTAAGTCTTCAAATCTTAGGTTTATCTGGGCCTGCAACTTTTCTAATAAGTTGTTTATTTCTGGTGGGTTTTGTATGTTTATACATTTTTGTAAATGGTAACTCATGTATTTAACAAACAAGATAACTTTAGATATAGTTACACTGGTTTCCGCGCTAATTTCCTCAGTAATTTGGTAGAATAGTTTCAAAACCTTAACTGATTTTTCTAAAATATTCCAATCAGATAGTGATAGTGTATTAAGATGGGGCTCATCACCAGCTAATAAGTCGACAACAGCTGGTTTAACCAATAATATTCCTGAGAGCATATCATACGTAGAGTTCCATCTTGTTCCGACATCTTCTTTTAATTTTAGTTCAGGTAGCCCCATTTGCGTTTGCATACCTCTTAGTTTAGTTAAAGCACTGGAATTCTTTTTAAAAAATTGCACGATGGCCTTAACCTTGTTAACTTGTTCTTGAATTTCCATTATTCCAGCTTGCAGGACCAAATTGAAGGTATGTGCGAAACATGGAAAAAGAGCCCAAGATGTAGCTTTTATTGCTGCAGTTATATTGGCAGCGTTGTCCGATATGACACAAGCTATTTTATTAGAAATTCCCCATTCATCTGCCTGAATTTTTAGTTGATCTGATACGTTTTCAGTTGTATGTCGTTCATCAAAAGGAATGCAGCCCAAAAGATAGGATTTAATTATTTGCTTTCCATTATCATCATCAATAAAGTGGACGGTAATTGAAATGAAACTTTGATTATTGATTGAAGTCCACCCATCTGTAGTTAGACATACTGCATCAACTTCGGATAGTTTTTTTAAAATGACTTCTTTTATATTGTTATAGAGCCGTGGTATTAAGCTATTCGATATTGTTTCTCTGTCTGGTATGTTATAATTAGGGTTTAACATCTGTATAAATTTTTTAAACTCAGGGTTTTCTACAACTCTGAATGGTTGGAACTCTTTTACAATGACCCTAATTAATTGTTCATCTAGCTGTTTAGATGTAGATGCAGCTGAAGTACTTGGATTATTTCTTGACTCTGTATCTACTATTTTTTTCAGCCGATCTTCCATCTCTTCCTCGTCTTCAGCTTGATGTCTATAAGTGGCCATTTCAATAGAAATAGCTTTGTGCATTAACTTCATATGTCGATTAAGATTGCCAGTTGCACCTCCCCGAAAACTTATTATTTTATTACAATGGCCGCATTCAGCTTTTCCTTCACCTACTATTTGAAAATGATTCCAAAGTTTACTACGTTTGTTTTTTAACTCGGACATCCTTATTTGAAAATACGGTTCAGTTCTAAAAAAATATAAAGCCATATTAAAATCAACACCATGAAAGTATCGTGGCAAGTAGTAAGAAATGTACACAGGGATCCGTTAGATATTGTTAAAAAGATTACTATCGTTTAGTATTTGTTGCTATTTTGTTAATAAGTATATGTACCGTATGTTTTAATCTAGACTATTCTCAAATTTCCAAATTATCTGTACAGTCAAAAACATACCCTTTTTCCTACCAGTATTTGAAAGGCACCGTTTTGCGCCACAATTCACACTCAACGTGGTGCGTGTATGCTGTTTGCGTGGCGTGTGTGCGGGGCTGACAACGCCAATGGAGCAAGTACCACAGAGTGACATTTTTTGTATTAACACACTAAATTTTTCACATATAGCAGACAAGTTTATTTCATATAAAGGAATTCAAAATGAAATAGGAAACTCACCCGTTGTATAGCTATTAAAGTTGACCAATCAAAAAATATCGTTCGACAGCACCGCAGATTCTGCCCACACCTGTCTGGATCGCTGGGTGATTTATTTTGAAACTTCTCAACACAATATGGTCGAACATACACTGCCCCTATAAATAGTTTATTGCTTATTTTTACTTAATTTCTGGTACAATTGTAGTAGATATCCGGCTCGAAGGACCAACTATTTATTGTTGGATAGTGTAAACAACCTTTAAACTCAAAATTGTACAGCATTTCATTATAAGAAGTAAAAATAACTTTACAAAAATGGTTTATTAGGTGCAAAATGCTTTTATGTATTTATATGACAAGTTTGCTTCTAATGTATGTCCTATGCACTAAACAGCACACACGCACCACGTTGAGTATGAATTGTGGCGCAAACAACCCTTGCTAATATTTATATTTAATATTATAAACAACACTGCGTGAAAATATAGATTTTAAAGCAATCAATTTTTCAAAACAAATTAAGCAACATTGTATGTTCAGACGTAGCCAATATATCATTTTTGAATACGTACAAACCTATGTGCCTGATAAAACCAAATATAATATACTAACACCCAAAATACAACACACAAGTTACAATAACAATCAGAACACTAACAACTATCACTATCTAAGCCCTACTCGCACTAACATAATCGTATCAGCCACTATGCACTTTCCTTTTTTCATCTTTTTGTTGTCTGGTTACTAACTTTTTTAGGATATTCTCGAAAAATTTTTGGAGAAACAAAATTCGCTGATTTGTGTTCGCTAACACTGCTTGTTGATGGGGTTCTTCGATAGACCTGTCTAAGACTTATTTTCTTTTATTTGTAATGGGACTTCTGGAACTTCAACCTTCGCAATAGTTTGAATTAGATGTGCATTCTCGGGATTAAGGGGCATACCCATATTCTCCTGATTATTTTCGGTGATTGATAATTAAGGTTAAGATGAACAGGGTTATCAGTCAACTTGCTGCTTAAATAATCATCTTCAGTAAAAATAGTGCAGTCAAATGGCATATCAGTTTTTTTAAATGCATTGGTAATTGTGGCTGGAGTCATTGCTTTTTCATGGGCTTGCCCAACACATGCAGCAACTTCATAAAGGATAAAGGAGTTACCAGGATTATAAAGCATCCAACTGCCTTCAGCCCCATTGTAGAATTTTTGAAATGTTCCAAAAATATCCACATCTAACGATTGTAATTTGTGTGTGGAGTGTGGCGGAAAGGTCAAACCAGTCACCCCATTCTCCATTGTCAGTGAATCTGAAATTCAGCTTTATTCAATTTTTTCACATGCGAAAATAATTCAGTAAATTTGTACTGTAAAGTGATACTAATAGGAAAGTTTTGGGGAAGTTCTGATTTTTTCATTCCATATGTGTTTTGAGGTGCTAAATCGGAATCTGAGGTTTGCGGACAAAATTTCGTGACGCAACATTTAAAAAACCAGAAGAAATCGTTTTTTTTCCGTTTTTTCGGTTTTTTGCTTAAAACTCAAAAACTGATAACTTTTAGTAAATGGTCTGTTTATAGAAATTAAAGTACTTAAAGTTCTGTACAAATGTCACTATTTTGGATATTGTACAGACGAATCGTTCGGTCTCAAATGCAAGTTGAAAATTGGCAATTCGTACCGGTGTGACTGCAAAACCCAATTTTTAGATTTGAACGAAGATTAGTTTAGAACGATTGAGAAGAGCACAAAGAAAACAATCTGCTGCAATATCATTTACAGAAATGATGGTACCCACTGTGTCGCAGGATAGTTTTCTTGCAAACCCAAAAAACAAAAGCCGGTTTATATCTATGTTAATGAAGAAACTTCATGATGCAAAAATTCATTCAAAGCAAGCTGTGGAAGATGCTGATATCCTAATTGTCACAACAGCTCTTGGGATGGCCCCATCAAATGAACATGTGACAGTGGTGGGGGAAGATATCGACCCACTGGCCATTTTGATTGGCCTTTGTAGCCCTGATATAAAAAATGTATTTTTTTGAAGCCAGGAAAAGGAAAGGTTTCGCAAAGCCACTACAACCCTCATCTGGCTGCTGAGAAAATCCTGTTGGATCATATTATATTCCTGCATGCGATGAGTGGTTGTGATACTACTTCTGTATTGTTTAATCAAGGGAAACTGAAATTTCTTAAAGTCCTGCAGAAGAACAAAGATTTGCAATCGGTAATTGAAGCTTTCAAAGACCCTAATTCAAGTCAAGATGAGATTGCCACAGCAGGAAACATGTTTCTCACGGCTCTATATGGAAAAAAAAAGACAAAACTAAACGATTTAAGATATAAACAATACGTATCTTTATCATTCAAAAATAAGACCAACATTTCCTCATTGCCCTCGAATGAAGCTGCTGCACGAGAACATTCACTGAGAGTTTACTATCAAGTGCAGCAGTGGTTATCCGGTCAAGCCAGACCTAACGAGCAACAAAAAGATCCAAGTGAGTGGGGATGGCAAAAAACTATTAGTGGTCTTGTGCCAGTACCAACTACTTTGGACCCTGCACCAAACTCAATACTCCGGTACATTTCATGTAAATGTAAAAAGGGCTGTCAACGCAATTGTGGATGCAGGAAGGCGGGACTCCATTGTTCCCCAATATGCGCATCATTCGAAACACTGTGTAACAATGTTGAGCCCCCAAAAGACAGCTCTGATATAGACGTAGAAGAAACTGAAGAAAGAGAGAGAGGTATGTTGGATCTGACAAGTTATTTTGTAGTCATTCATCTCTCCTTGATATATGTGTCTCTCCTCTTTTTATTTTCCAGGAGAACGACTCCCGACGCTGGAGCAATCAGACCCTGAGCCAGGACCCGATGCCATCGAAGAATCTCAGTACGACGCGAAAAGTATGTTTAATCTCACAATCTATTTTGCAATCTTCATCTCTTCTTGATAAATGACTTAACTTTAAACTTTTATTTTCCAGAACAAGCAGAACCAGGACTCATCGTTATCGAGGAACCTCAGCCAGGGCCTTCCAAAAGACAACGGCTTATATAAATGTTGCATATTATAATTTATAATCATAATAATATATGATCATAAGTAACGAGATTTTAAGTTTTATTTGGTTACGAGTTCTACCTACCTACTGAATTTGCATAATTTTTGCCTTTTTTCTTTTTAATTACTTGTGTGGAAAACCAGGTGACATTTATCAATTGACAGCATCCATAAAAATTAAATATTGAAATGTAAAAAGTGGGTTTTGCATAAACTGCTAACAATTTACAATTTTCAATTCGCACTAGAAACCGAACGATTCGTCTGAAAAAAAAAACTAAATACTGGTATTTGTAGAAAATTTCAAGTACTTTAATTTCTGTAAACAGACCATTTACCAAAAGTTGATAGTTTTCGGGTTTTAAGCAAAAAACCCGAAAAAAGAAAAAAAACGGTTTATTCTGTTTTTTTTTAATGTTGCGTCACGAAATTTTGTCCGCAAACCCAGATTCGGATTAAGCACCCCAAAAAACAAATGGAATGAAAAAATCAGAACTAATCCAAAACTCTCCTAGCAAAAATACAATTTAACTGAACTAAAAATCTTGTCATTTTTTCGCTGTATTACTAACTACCATTTTACCACAATTTTACAAATATTTCCCATTCTTCAACCCTTCCTACTCACATTTCAACCCCACTTTATTAGAAATACAGACATATGTAACTAGCAAACAAGAAGTCGCTGTCTTCCGTCTGCTGAGTCTCGCTAGGTAGACGTACTCTCTCTGTTGTCTGTTGACTACCGTTTGGCTATTTTGATATTTTTGAATTCTGTATTCCATTTTCTATTTTGTTGTAATCATTCTTATTCTTTTCCTCTCTTCCATCATGATCAAAAAAATTAGAATATTTCGGACATATTACACGTGGCGAGAAATACACCTTGCTCCAACTGATTATGTAGGGAAAGATCTAGAGACCGACCGATTAATCGGCTTCGGCCACCTTCGGCCAATATTTAAACCTTAGGCCAAAATTCGGCTTCGGCCAAAACAAAGCCGAAGGTTTTGCCGAAGGTGACTATAGAAATGAAATAATCTCTGAACAATACGCTTCGGCGAGTCTTTGATAATTTGAATAATATTTACACACTATTTTCTACCCTCAACTAAAACGTTTTACAAACTTTCAGGTAAGGTAATAGTAGGTAGGATATAAATTTTAACAATAGGCCAAGATGTCTTAAAGATCTTCATTTGAATATTTCTCACGTAGTAAAATTATGATAATAATTTTATTGTATTTGTTAAAACTCACGATTACTGGTGTTTTGAATAGATACCTAAATGGCAAAACATCGACCATCGACTATGAATGCAAATATTAAATATTTGTTAAATATTACTTATTAATTAAATATTACATTTGCATATATAAAACAGTTTAAGTTTATTCTCTCGTGGGTGCAGCTTTACTAATAGTACTTATTTACCCGTGAAATATATATATTATAATTTACGTTGCAAAATCAGTTCAGGTTTTTGTTCTAGTGTTGTAAAAATAACTTTTGGTAAGTCTGTAATTTTTATTTTAATATAATTTTAGTAAATTCAAACGTTTTTAGATAATGTCAATAAAAAATCCAATTTGGGATTATTTTGAAAAAAGTGGCAACAAAGCTGCATGCAAACTATGTTCAAAGTCATTATCGCTTGGCAGTTTAATACCTAAAAAACAAACTATTACAAACATTAAAAATCTTCTACAAAAAATCCATACAGAAGAATGGAAATCATTTTGTGACATTAAAATGGGAATAAAAGTTCGAAAATTGGAACATATGAAAACTCCACATGATGTTACACAACCAGTTTCCAGGACATTTCAGCCCAACCTACATCAAATAATGGAACTTAAGTCACCTGCTCTATGGCCTGATGATCATCCGATATCATCTAGGATTGATAAGGTATCATGGACCTTATTATTGTCGACATGTTACCATACTCTATCGTTGAAGGAGAAGCTTTTCAGCGTTTAAATTTTGGAGATCCTAATATTACTTCCAAATACAGAAAAAAAAACGGAAAAAGTTTTTTAGAACTAGTTTAATGCCAGCTACCTATGACAGAGTTTGGAAAAAAGTATCAAATTTAGTTTCTAAAGCCGAATGGATAAGCTTTACGTCAGATATTTGGAGCAATCCTGCTAAAACCTGTTCTCTTTTGAGTTTTACAGCTCACTTTGTTCATGGTTCAAAACGTCTTAAACTTATATTAGGCGCTACTGTGCTTAATGATGACCACACTAGTATGTTATTGCAAGTAAACTTAATGAAATAATTAAAAATTTTAAAATAGAAAACAAAATTCATATAGCTGTAACTGATAACGCAGCAAATATAATCGCGGCTATTCGTATTACACAATTTACATCTCTAAGATGTGTGGTTCACTCATTACAACTTGTAATTCATGATTCTTTATTAAAACAGGAATTAATTGAAAACACAATTAAAAAGTGTCGTAAAATTGTGGGACATTTTAAAAGGAGTGAACAAGCGTGCAAGTACCTGAGGCAGTTTCAACAAACTTGCAATTTGCCACAGCATATGTTAATTCAGGATGTGGAAACAAGATGGAATAGCACTTACCTAATGTTGGAGCAGCTATTCGAACAGAAAGTTGCAATAAATTTGTATATGGCTGAACGTGGTGGTATTGAAGTTCCCAGTTTCAACAGAATGGGAATTGATCAACAATTTAATTTCAGTTTTAACTTGTTTTTACCAAGCGACGCTAGATCTTTCAGCCGATTCTGCTTGTGTATCATTGGTTATCCCACTAATAAAAATGCTAAATGGTAAAGTTTCTGCGAAAGAGCAGGACTCTGAGGAGATAAGTTTATTAAAGCTACGACTTCGTGAATCATTAATTAAAAGATTCGCTAATATTACAAATTTGCCAGAATTGTCAATTGCGACTCTTCTAGATCCTCGCTTTAAATCAAAATATTTGACAGACGAGGAAGTAATTACATGTAAAGCAAGAATTTTAAAATTTCTACGTGAATCTGATAGCTCTAAGTTTAGTTATACAAATAAAGTTCCTATGGCTATCGCTTCAACATCATCATCTACAACTACACATGTAGAAGATCTAGAAAACAATATTCTTTGGAATTCACATGATACTTTTGTCCCAGCCGTTCTAGATACAACAAAAGAAATTTATAACGACAACGATCCCAATGCAGATTACCTAGATTCGTATTTACGAGAGGCTTTGCTTTTAAGAAGTGCCGACATATTTCATTATTGGGAATCAAGTTCCTATATTTCTTTAAAAACTGTAGCCAAAAAATTTCTATCGGCACCACCAACGAGTGTACCTAGTGAGCAGTTATTCAGCTCTGCTGGGCAACTATACGCTGACAGAAGAACTAATTTGTTGGGAGAAAACGCTGACAAGCTTCTTTTTCTTAGGTATAATATTAGGATGTTTGATTTCGAATATTAACTACCAGATCCAGTAATCATAAATACTCACTTGCTTTAATGTTTTTTAATGTTATTTATTTTTATTATCGCTTCTATTACCAAATAATGTATAAATATTTGACTTTTTTATCTCATAATTTTATATTTTTGTTTATCACTTATCAGTTAATAAAAATATAATGCACATTATTTAAATTATTAACATATAATAGGTAATAGGTATATTTTTAGTCACCTTCGGCTTCGGCTTCGGCCGAAGGTATCCTTCAGGCCGAACTTCGGCATCGGCTTCGGCTTCGGCCAAAAAAATCACATTCGGTCGGTCTCTAGAAAGATCCAAGGAAAGAGAAGCATAGGGAGGCGTAAAATGTCATGGCTGCGCAACCTGAGAGAGTGGTACGGATGTACATCAAATGAACTTTTCAGAGCAGCCGTCTCAAAAGTCCGAATAGCTATGATGATTGCCGACCTCCGCCGCGGAGATGGCACTTGAAGAAGGAGATCATGATCAGAATTTTCTTATTTTCAATTAATAAATTTACTCGTATTTTAAATTATTTATTTAAAAAAATATTAAAAATTATAAAAATACAGTGTCTTAGTTATAACAACTACCAACAGTGATCAAAAAGAAAATGGTAAATTATCTATCAAAAATGCAAGTTGAAAGAAGACTCTCATATCTTAAAATCTCACAATTAAAACTATAATAATAACTTTTTGTAATATCGAAACAATTAACTCATAGCTTCAAATATGCTCAAATTTGGTCTCTTTTATTATTGTATAAAACAAATATATCACATGAAAAGTAGAAACTTGAGCCAAAAAAAAAACAAGAGTTGCCCAGTTACAAAATTTGTTCTGCCTATTTTTTTCAAAATTGAGATAAAACCGCCATTCTGTAGTTTTTTCTCCTACATCCAAAAACATATATGTCGTGTTGCAAAAGTCCTTATAAACCTGTTTAAAACGTATCAGAAAATCAATAAATTCTGCAAAATACGTTACGTGAAAAACAACAAGTCACCTGGATTAGAGAACATTAACGCAGAATTAATAAAGGAAAAATCATTCATCGGCGAATATATAAAAAAATTGGAAGTTGACATCGGACCCTCTCAATTTGGCTTTAGAGACGGACTAGGAACTAGAGAGGCACTGTTTGCTTTTAATGTTCTAACACAACGATGCTTAGACGTAAATCAGGACATATTTGTGTGTTTCCTAGACTATAACAAAGCATTTGATACAGTAAAACATAGGCCACTGATGCAAATACTGGAAAATAAAAATATTGATACAAGGGACATTCGAGTGATAAGGAATCTATACTACAAACAAGAAGCAACAGTACGAATTAACAGCTCGATATCAGATAGAATACAGATCAAAAGAGGTGTTCGGCAGGGCTGTGTGTTGTCTCCAACCTTGTTCAATGTCTACGCGGAAGAAGTTATTAAAAAAGCTCTTATGAACGAAAAAGCCGGAGTAAAGATCAACGGTCACCCCATTTGCAATATCCGATATGCTGATGATACCGCACTCATAGCAGAAAATATAGACGACCTACAGATATTACTAAACAAAGTGGTTGAAGCAAGTGAAGAATTTGGTCTGTCACTGAATACAAAGAAGACCAAATTCATGATAATTACAAAGAAACGTATCAATAATATCAACTTACATGTAGGACAGAATCTCATTGAACGAGTACAAAATTACAATTACCTCGGAACAAATATTAACGAGTCAAACGAATACACCAGAGAAATAAGAATAAGAATAGAGAAAGCTCGCAGTGCCTTTAACAATATGAAACAAATGTTGTGTAGCCGAAACCTAAGCCTAAAGCTGAAAATACGAATGCTTAAATGTTATGTTTTCTCGGTCCTGTTATATGGGGTGGAGGCGTGGACACTAAATAAGCAATGTATGGGTAAGCTGGAGGCATTTGAGATGTGGGCGTACCGAAGAATGTTAAAAATCTCCTGGAAGGATAAGATAACTAACCAAGTTGTATTAGACAGGATGAACAAACAAAAGGAGGTCGTATTGAATGTTAAAATGAGGAAACTACAATACCTGGGACATATTACACGTGGGAATAAATATCAACTGTTACAACTAATTATGCAAGGAAAGATTGAAGGTAGGCGCAGCATAGGTAGGAGAAGGTCACGGTTGAGAAACCTCAGGGAGTGGTTTGCTTGCACTTCCATACAATTGTTCCGAGCGGCAGCCTCCAGGAGCAAAATTGCCATGATGATAGCCAACCTTCGTAGCGGAGATGGCACGTGAAGAAGAAGAAATAAAGGAAAGTGGAGACTCCCTATTGCGATATACGAACTAATAGTAAACATATGGAATAATAAATAACTGCCACAAGAGTGGAATACCGGAGTAATTATCCCACTACGTAAAAAGGGAGATCAGGTTTTTCAATGCAAAAACTACCGGGCAATACCGCTACTGACTGTGGCATATAAAATACTGTCAAATATTGTGTATGACCGATTGAGACCATATGCTGAACAAATAGTTGGGGGATATAAATGTGGTTTCCGCAGGCAGAAGTCCACAATAGATCAGATCTTCGTCTTGAGGTAAATCTTGGAAAAGACTAGTGAATTTAATATAGACAAACATCATCTTTTCATTGACTTTGAGAGTGCCTATGATAGCATCCATCGAGAATTTCTGATCCATGAACTGAAAGAGATTAATAATCCAACTTAACTCATTGATATAGTAAAAGAAACACTTAAAGTACAAAGCAAAATTCGAATTCAAAACGAACTAACAGATACAATCCATGTGAGAACGGGCCTACGACAGGGAGATGCCCTATCCTGTATTCTATTCAACATCACATTAGAGAAAATAATTAGGGAGTCAAAAGTCAACACAAGAGGAACAATAATAACAAAAGTGTACAAATATTGGCATTTGCAGATGAAGTTGATATCATAGCTAGAAGCGAAAGAGAGATGATAGAGCATTTAATGCGATAGAAAGAGCAGCACAAAACAGTGGCCTAAACATTAACGAAATAAAAATGAAATACATGAAGGCCAGTAAATCGACAGGCCAAAGAAACCTACAGAATCTGATAATACGAGACTATAACATCGAAAGCGTGAAAAGTTTTACATATCTACGTTCACTAGTTACCGCAGATAGCAATATCAATGAAGAAGTTAAGAGAAGAATACATATCGCTAATAAAACATATAATGGACTAATTCAACATGTAAGATCCAACATCACAAGAAAAACCAAATGCAAAGTATACAAGACCCTGATAAAACCGGCCCTTGTATATGGATCAGAGAAGTGAACACTGTCGAAAAGCGATGAGATCCTATTAAGTACATTTGAACGAAAAATCCTTTATTTTAGAATCCTAAAAAACATATATAAGAGGGTAAAGAAAAAGAAAAAGATGTGCAATATGGTTTTAATTAATAAGCATTATATATTTCTATCCGTCATTAATTGATTATTGACCCTCATAACAGAACCAAAGCACAAAACAACACATTCATATAGTACTCCATCCCAGTCAACTGATTAGGATTTGATTTGGAGCATAAAACATGGTACATACCAAATAGAATCCATACCGGGTAGATAAATGTGCAAACATTCTAGCAAAGTGGGTTCAATCTTGAGAAAGGACAAACAGTACAACACATTACTTCTGAATGCCCTCTCTGACGGTGGAGTGATTTCCTTGAAGCGACATCTGGAGCAGTCTCGACATAATCGTTTAATAAATATTTTAATGTTACTTGCATTATTTTCATTTTCATGTAAATTGTGTAATTTAGAGCATTTTCCTTAATGGAAAGTTCTTGCTACACTTTGAGAATCCACAAAGACAAATTGTTAGAGAATTATAGCCAAGCATAGCAGTATTAAATCATCTATTTTATTTGCCAGCGACTTTTAAGGTACAATCTTTACTAAAAGAACAAGCTTTGAGTCCATCAAAGCTGTGAAAAGGAAAGCATCATAATGTTCTGATGGAGCTGACTTAAAAAAACTTCAATCACAGTTTCATTCACAGACTATTCATAAAGAATGTTATAGGGACGTAGGGAAAGTGTATACTGAAGGGGCCAATAAATAAGTAAGTATGGAACCGAATGTTTTACAGTGTGAATCTATGTTTAATATCTAAGTAAATACTCTCATTCTAAAATTTTTTTATGAATATGATTTGAGTGTGTATATTTTATAAAATGATCGCCTTTCCTGATATACAGTGTAATAAATTATATGTTTTGATTAGAATGTACCAAATTATTAAAACATACGAAAGAAAATAGCAGGTACCACTAAAGTGAGCAGCTTATTAAGTGAAAAACATAGATTTGTTACTTCATTGACCAAAATGAAAAAAAAAAAAAAAAAATAGTGAAAATGACAGTCTTCCTCCAATATGGCAATATTATAACAACTATCTAAAATAATTTAGTACTAAGATCAATACAGATATATCGCGAAAACGGTGGTCACGCAGAAGATGGTGTCCTGAAAAAAAAAAAAAAAGATTATATTACCAACGAAATCTTTTAATAATAAAGAGAAGAATTATATTTTAACCAATAAATATAGTGAAATGTGTATAAAACAGAACTTGTATGGACCTGAAACAATTTACTTGGCATCACCTAGATTAGATTTATTGCATTCATCATTGCATTGCACTGGTAATTATTAATTTAATTTTTTATTTTTTTTTTATTTTTTTTTATTTTTTTTTTTATTTTTTTTATTTTTGGTGTTTTTCTAGTAAATAACAACACCAAAAATAAAATAAATATTTACCAGTACAAAAATTACACCTCTGTATAATATGTTGCATACCATTAAGACAGGTTTAAAAAGTATATTCACCTAAGAAGGGCCTCCAGTATTTCTTGTAAAGAAAGATAACATCAATTACACCTAATTACACATTAATTACACTGTTTTTTCTTTCCATTCTCTGTATGAGTTAATATACACCAGTAAAACATGCCATCAATCAAGTTTTACTATTTTTACAACAAATTTTAAAAATTTTATGATGTATTAATGTCCATAATTGTATATTTTAATGTGTGGTATAAATGTTGAGTGTAAATGCTTACAAAAATAATCTCAACGACTAGTAAGTTACACTGAAGAATTATGATATTTTTCAAATATTTACATAATTGTCTTTTACAGTGTCTTGAAAAAGGAATAAAACCATTCCGAAAGCTCGACAAAAAGTCAAAAGAGTGTTTTTTTAACAAAACGGCCAAGATTCTGACTGCAACAATAATAAACTGTGTTATTTGTATATATATATATATATATATATATATATATTATATATATATATATATATAAATATATATAATGTCGGTTTACAACGTTCTTCGACGTCTACCGATTTCCAATCTCCATATCATTATATTGTTCCATAGATAGTCCTCCAGTTCTCTTTCCCTGATTTCTTTATTAACTCTTTCTCTCCAACTTCTTCTAGGCCTTCCTGGTCTCCGCCTACCTCTTGGTTGCCATTCAAGAATTTGTCTTGGTATTCTATTCTCCGGCATTCTCCTTACGTGTCCGTACCATCTGAGTTGTGTCGTTTTGATGTCATCAACAATATTATGTGTAACCCCCATGATTTCTCGGACTCTCTCGTTTGTTATTCTGTCGCGTCTAGAGATTCCCGCCGCGCGGCGCCAGAAGTCCATTTCTGTTGCTCTAAGCATTTTCTCTGTTCTGTCTTTTAGTTTTTGTAATTGTAATTACATGTATAATTGTAATAGTTTTCGTATCATGTAACTAAGGTCTTCAGAGTCCTGTGCGACGATGACCTGGTCATCTGCAAAGCACAGGGTGTACAAAGTTAAGTCTATTAGTGGTATGCCCATATTCATATATTTTTCCTTCCATTTATTGAGTGCTGCTTCCGGGTATATTTTCGGTTTTAATTCTTGTTGTTTGTTGGTAGTACAACGTTTTTACCGCTTCAATCAATTCTATATTTATATTTGTTTTTTCCCAGTGCTTCTCATAATTTATCAAGCAAGGCACTATCAAATGCTTTCCTAAGGTCTACGAACGTCAGGTGGACTTCTTGGCCACGAGCAACTTTCTTTTCAATTTTCTGAGTAATAGAGAAGACATGGTCTATTTCCTCTATAGTTTTCAGGTTTTGATTTATCTCCCTTTTTATGGATGGTGCTCATATGCGATTCTTTCCATTCCTCAGGTATTTCATTTTTATTTATGCATTCCTGGAAAAGTTGTCGTGGCCGTTGAATTAGTATTTTGGTTCCATGTTTGATGAGTTCAGGAGCTACATTTCCTGTGTCTACATACCTCCACAATCATCTCGCAAAACATACAACTGGCATTGTCAAACTGGAAAATGTTGTTTTGCACTACTCAGCACAGGAGATCTGTTTTTCGCATTACAATCGATTATAATCTTCCCAATACGTCATGGGAGAATTATGTGTTTGGTGTAATGGTGCATTGTCCTGCAGATGATTCAGCTGTGAATACCATTGGTTTTTTAAAACTGTATTAACATAATATTAATAATAATCTTAATGTATTTTTGGATTTAGTTTTTTCTAATGTTAGGGGTTAAATGCCTTAAAAGCAAGCGATCCCCTCGTTGATCCTAGCATCATGTGAGTTATGAATATTGCTTAAACCTCAATGCGAAAGAAACAGAAATAAGTTGGTTTATGATAAGTTGTTTTGTAATTTTTGCAATGGCGATTACATAGCGCTTAACAACTTCCTTGCTTCCATAGACTGTCAGATATGTATGGTTAATGATATTGATATTGTTACAAAAATATTGTATGAAGTTTTTACTATAATAATTGCTTACTTTGTGCCATTGAAGAAATATAGAACTTCAACTTTTCCCAAGTGGTTCTCTGCTGATCTTAGAAGACTGACTCTGGAGATAAACATGCTCACTATATTTATGTTAATAATCATTATGATGCTGACTATATTTAGATCTCCCACCTAAGAGCTGAATGTAAACAACTGTCCGAAATTTGCTTTAGCAACTATAACAAAGGTATATATACTGGCCAAAATAATTGTGAAAGAACGACAATCAGCAACAAATGGTTTAAGACATAGGTAATTTATTTATGAGTTCCTTCCAAACCGTGTATTCACCAAATAGCAACAACCTTTACGTATTTTTCCATCAATTAAATAGCAATTTTGGTATAAAAACGTTTGTCGTTCTAAGATTATCATATTATCATATTTTTAATAGCATATGTGAGCTGCCCAAATAAGCTTATAACTGGACCAGATGAATGCCTATTTTTTTATTAAAAAAGTGTCTCTGTACCCTTGTAATGCCGTTTGTTATATTATTTAATAGATCTATGGAAACCTCTGTTTCTTTATTCACGGAAAGAAAGTTATTTTGTTCCTATATTTAAAAATGGTCAAAAAGACAACATTGAAAATTATCTTAACCTTTATATATAATCCACAATCCCTAAACTCTTCGACTGTCTTATAGCAAAGCACATTTTTTGGTTTAATATCTCAATAAACATGGTTTTCATAGCAAAAGATCCACTGCAAAAAACTTTACAAAAAACTCAATCTGATATATTATCTCAAATAGAAAATCATGAGCAGTTAGATGCAATATAAACAGATTTTTCCAAAGCATTTGATCGAGTAGTTCCTCAAATACTTTTGGGAAAATTAGTTAATGTAGGCTTTCATGCCAGGTTTAACTCATGGATTAAAATCTATACATCTGGTAGAAGTCAAAGAGTCAAGATAAGTTGTCATCTGTCTGAGAGTATCTCAGTAAGATGTGGAGTTCCTCAAGGTGGCCACACATCTCCACTTCTTTTTAATATCTTTATTAACAACATTACTACCTGTTTCCTAAATAGCAAATGTCTAATGCGATATATGCTAGTTTGCTGAAAGTGCCCCATGCCAGTTGTGTTATTCTTTTAATTTCAGCATATTGATTTGGTTTTCCTAGTTTGATAACATGACCTAGATATACATAATGTTCAATGTCTGATATCGGCTCAGTATATTTGTTTTGCTGTAGTTCATTTTAAGCCTACCGCTCCTGAAACTGCATTTAATTGTTGTAACATATCATTTAGTTCTTGGATATTATCGGCCATTAAAACTATGTCAATGCGAATCTCAAGTGGTTTAAGTATGATCCGTTGATGTTGATACCCTTATTATTCAGAACAATATTGATATGTTACAAAGAGTCCAACATAAATTTTTCAGATATTTTGCTCATCATTTTCACACTACTATCGAAAATCATGATTATTCTCCTATCAAACAACAATTATCTTTACCCTCACTCAAGAACCGTCCTGATATGTCAGGAGCTATATTTATATATATATATATATATATATATATATATATATATATATATATATATATATATAAGATTATACATGGATTTATTGATTGTCCAAACCTTTTAAGACAGATTAAATTTAATGTTCCCCATCAAGCTTTATGTTTTTTGTAATAATGTTTTTAATATTCCTTTCCACAGAACAACCTATGATATTCACAACCCATTGGATAGATACATGGGGCTATTAAATGATCTCGATTTTGATATTTTCAATAGAACTTTAAATCAGTTAAAAGATCCCTTGTTTTGTGATATGTATATTGGTATTGTTGAATTTTGTTCTTGTTATATTTTGTTTATTTTTTTTAGTATGCAACATTTTTAGTCTCATTTTTAAAAATGTTTGATACTGATTTTTATTATAAGTAATTTCAAGTTTTGAATCCTAACTGTGATATTGTATATTGTAATTTAAACTGTTAATGGGGTTATCCTGTGTATTAAATAAATAAATAAAATATATTAACAAAAACCTAGATAATAGGATGATATCAAACTTTCAAGATTTCATATTTCAAGAAGTCTCAAATGTAGTCTCTATAACATTGTCTCAAATGAACTTGTAGCTGCTAAAGCATACTTAGAAAGAAAAAACAAAATGTAAGTTATAATCCGTGGTGAAATGAAGAGATAAAAATGTTAGTAACACAAAAAAATAATTATATCTCAAGATGATTAAACAAAAAAAAAATGATGTCAAAAATTACAAAATAACTAAACATGAAACAAGAACATTAATATAGAAAGAGAAAAATAAACTTAGGTATAAGAAATACAACGATATCACTTAAATTGGTGGGCAGAAAAATATAGAAGCTTGGGGATTAATAAATTCAGTTCGAATGTCACTCAAAGAAAGCATACACATACGGATAACAGAAACTAAGACAGACAATAGTATCTAAATGAATCAAGTACAGAGGATTTACATGCAGAAGAAGAAATCCACAGAGATATGATAAAATCAGATATGAAAAAAAATGCAAAATAGAAAATATTATAGATCTGAAGGAAACAGAACTAAAAACATTATTCAATATGATACCATATTATATATTCAACTTAATTAACTAATATTAATGGACATAATAATATGAGGTACATGATTTGGAAGTTAACTGAATAGTAAAAAGTGTCAAGTTGAAGTGTCGACATCCAAACTTAGTGACCTCTAAGTTGAATACTCGTAGTACAATAACATACTGTCAAGACTATACTTAATGAGCTGGTAGTAACCCAACTGAAACAGGCAACGAAGAAGTAGAAAGACGAACAACAACAACGAAAAAAAGCAATATCTTCTCTCTATCTATATGAAACTTTAATAATAAGCAGTTTATTGTAGAACAAAGATTAAAATCACCTAAAAAAGGTTTTCATACAATTTGAATGTTTCTTTGCAGTCAAGATCTTTCAAAATAACTGAGCACAAGAACACTTATTAACTTTACATAATCATAATATTACTATATAGCTGAGTAGTAGTATAATTCAGTAGGGTAACAGTACCAGAGTTCTATTATTCATATACTTCAACAAACTCATTTTGGTCATAGGCTTATGTGCCCTTTTTACGCAGAATGGCTATTTAGGTCCGCCATGTTTTCCCCTTTACAATGATATAATTTTCATTTATCTTTTAAAAATGAGGTTGGTGGAACTGTTTGAATATTAGTGTGCATGATGTTTTTTCAGATATGTGATTTCTGCAGGTGTTTTGTATAGGAGGGCTATTTATCGCTTCTCATTTGTTTCGATCACTTGCCATGTGTCATATAATATTAATATATTATAGTGAGGTTAAAGTATCGGTGTTGTTATTCTGATAAGTTTTATTCTATTATATTATTACATCTAGTTTTATTCTGATAAGTACTATGATACATAATGAACAATATAGTGATTACGAAGATGTTTAAGAAGTTAATAGTTCTGATGGGAAGAGGAAAAGGAAATAAATAATACATAACCACAAACAGAAAAATAAGAAACAAGAAACCAATAAATTAAGGCATGTTCAAGGTGAAGAATACATATCTGTGTCAGGAAAGAAGGTTAGTTTCAAGTCATTCAATTTAGTTACTGACTGCTGCCAGAACAAATGCCCCGAAAATCTGCCTCTTGATTTTCAAATAGAGCTTTTTAGATAGCTTTTACAACTGCCAGAACAAAAGTCGGATAACCAGTTGTCTAGCTGTATGGATCCCAAAAGTAAAAGGAAATCTATTATCCAAAAAAAAACAAGAGATCACACCTGGCCTATCGTATGTCTGTAAGAGGAAACACTGTTTTAGTGTGTCGCAAGTTTATTTTGGACTTGTTTCAAATTTCAATAAAACGCATACTGATGATTAAAAAAAATTTTGTTGGGAGATTCATTTAAAGAAAAAAGAGGAAAACATTTGAATAGGCCCAGAAACATTTCAGATGACGTTGTTGTGTTAATGGGGGATCACTTGGCTAGTATACCCCGTGATGAAAGTCATTACTGTAGAAACAAGAGTAATTTGCAATATTTTGACAACACTTTGTTAAATATAAAATCATTTTCTGAGTTGTTCCAGGCCTTTTTCAAAGAAAGAAAAAAGGAAACTCTCAAGATGTCTTATAAAATATATTATCAGTACTTTAAAATTAAGTTTTCCTATTCTGTTCGCAAACCTAAAACAGATTTATGAGATTATTGCCAAGAATGTAAGATCACGCTAAATATCAATGATAAAGACCCATGTATGCCCTTTTTTGAAATCCACAAAAGGAAAGCAAATAAAAGAAAAGAACTGCATGATATGTATATTAAATCCAAAGAAGCAAATTCCTCGCATCTGGTTTTGGAGTTCGACTATTCTCAAAATTTCCCAATACCAAAGCTAAATGTCAATACCCAATTTTACAAAAGAATGTTTTGGTTGTACTGTTTTAAGATTCATGTTTTTAACGATGACTCTAGTTATTGCTATACATTTACTGAGTATGATGGAAAGAAGAATCATAATTATGTGGTATCTTTTTTATTTGATTGTATTAAAATACAGATAAGTAAATTTTCTGCCATTAAAACTATTGTGTTGTTATCTGGCTAATAGCCACAGGAGGACTAAACAGAAATTTAACTGTTACAAGATTTACATTGTGGTTTGCAAGAGTATTCCAAGTAACTGCTATACAACTATTTCTTGTTAGAGACCACAGCGTTTCCCAATGTGACAGAAATATTGGTTTCATCAACAAGACTGTTAACAAAGCTGAAGTAATAGGAAGTCCTGAGCCATACCTTACTGCTATGGTAACATGCAGGAAAAATCCTGTGCCATTTGAAGTAAAAAATGAACAGTGATCTTCTTCAAGATTGGGATTCTTTTATTAAACCGTTTTTCTTGCCGAACTTGTGTCCAAAAGCAAAGTTCCCTTCAAAATTATGAAGTACGTTATAAAATATGAGTGTAGCAGTGGCATTTTCTGTTCCCGAAGTTATACAGAAAACTTTGAACTGTACATATTTTGGAAACAAGGAGTACAACAGTTTCACAATGTCAATACAACTAAATGTCCCAGACCAGAAGAAAGTTGAAGATGTTACAAGCCTTTTCAGATTCCTAAATGAAGAAGATGTAAACTTTATTACATATGAAATGTTGAATGGATAGTTTAATAATGTATTAAAAATGTAATATGTAATGTATTAAAATAAAAAGTATATAATTCTATAATGCTTCTTTTTCTTCACATGCAAATTAATTTCAATCAAAAATCCCCTGTTCTATCTAAAAACGGCACATAACAGCTTTTTGTATTTCCCTATTTTTAAATGTAAGCTTTATTTTGATAGATGTCATACTTAGAAAATGGCTTTCTAGATAAATAGTTTTAATGCGTAATAAGCTTCTCAATTTTTAAACAACAAATTAGTATCTACAGCAACAAGTCAAAATTTCAAAGTGGTTTTTCTCAAAACCTACTTTTGTCCTATGTGCCCTTCTCACGTAGACTGCCTCAATTTATGAAAGAAAATTTATTGATCACATTTGAGCACAATATTATCAAAATGAACCTTCAAAATTGATTAATGACAGTAAAAAACCAATTTGTGGTCTAATCTGCATAGATATCATGCAAGACCTGTCTTTACTCACAATTTTTTTGGATATATAGCTAATTTAAATTTTCACACCAAGCACAATATTTCCTTTCTAGCTAATGAAACTAAATCATGAAAAAACTCCTGTGCATAATCAACAAGATAATTTTAACCCTGTATGGTTGTTGTTATGAAATACATGACACCATTACAACTCATATAAATTTACAACAAATTTTGCCCACTGGTTGCTTGGCATGTCATACATAAAAATCGTAAAACACAGATTTTCTTGTTGGTATGGTTCTTTAGTATGCCATAAATATGAAACATTTTAAGGAATATTTGGATTTAGATTTTGGTTGAAAATCACCTATCAGTTTTTTGGCAAAACCTGGTAATTGTTTTGAATGTATTTACATTTAACCTTGTGCATGCTACATATGCCTTTATTTCAATAAAATGTTTATTTGGAGTTCTGTTGATTTTATAAAGATTGTCCGATTGTGCTAGTATTAGACATTTAGTTATTGTGTTAGAGTATATTATAGAAAATGAAGTAGATTCAGAATGGGATTTTAGAATCAGATGGTTTAGCTGAAGATATAACTGTTACAGATGTTGAATTGTGGGAAGATAATCAATTGATATTTAGTTTTCTGCCTATCTACTTCTGTACGATGTACCCAAAATGTTTGGCTTTATACCCCAGCAATTGTTTTCAAAAATACTAAAATACCATACATTGTAAGATAACTGAAAAAGAGATTGATACTTTTTATAAAGAATATACACTAGTCTGCAATAAAGTTCAACTTTACTTGTCATAACATTCAACCACAAAGGGTTAAGGCAGTATCTGAATGGGAATGGGTAGATATGTTGATTCTTCTCCTGAATACATAAAGATACATGTAATACTTACATTTATAAATATATCACTTGTGTAACCATCCACATCTGAATCCCAAACACATCTAACAGCAGATTTAACACCAGCTCCTTTCATTTCTCCAATGATAACTTGAACAATGTGTTTATATCGTTTCATCTGTAAATCTTAAATAATATTATTAGTTGTGGATGACTAACTTTAGCGAACATAGACAATGATCACAATTTAGTTCCGACTGAAACAATTCTGAATGTAAAGCACCAATTTTGAAAAAAATCAACATAGAACAACTATATTATGAAGACCAAAAAAAATTATATCAGTCCAGACTAGAACAAAAAGTAGAGTGAGGGACACACAGTAGGAAGATATCGATGATAGTTTGTATCCTTCATAAATTATAAATGAGCTAAACCATAATATAAACACATACCTCTAACTTTTTCATTGACTTCGTTGGAAATCAGCATGGACCAATTTTTAGCTCGATCTGGATCATAGGCCATTCCTGTTAGCATAGCTGCAACAACATTTCTTATGATCTCCTTTACTGGTAGCTCTTTAAACCTAACAAAATAGAGTGAACAAGAGAATTATACAGAAACTACAACTTCCCAAGAACTACTAAACAAAAAACTTAAAGAAATCTGTAAATTATATTACATTAAGTGAAAACTACGTGATTATCTTGTGTCTACAAAAATACCCAAATTGTGATATGCAAATCTACTAAGTTGATATATTAATGTATGTTGTTAGCCAAATGATATTAAGAAAGGCCCACTTACTTGTTCTGAAGTGTTGGTTTGATTTGGTAAGAACTTACACCAGTTGATAGAGAACCAATTGGTTCCTCTTCAAATACGTCTTCGGATGATTTTTGTAATGAACGACGAGCAGGGCTTGTGGATTCTTCATTTTCTTCCTCATCCATACTAGGTATTACACTATCTTGTGAATATTAAATGTATATATCTATTTTATTTATGTCGATTAAATGCCTGTTTCTATGGTAAATATCTACATTTATAGTAAAATCGATAATATGTTACAGAAATTCAATCCGGCGTTTGTAAGATTGATTTCATTTAAATTTTGTTTATATTTAACATTGACATTAAACAAGCACATAACCTTATTCTTCTCGCACGTGGCACGTAGCGCGTTCAATCTCCCATGTTTGCTAATAATTCAGTTATAATTTGATTTGATAAATAGTATTTACAATTGTATAAAATTTGTTTTTTTCGGTATGCAGTAAATTTTATACTATTATAAAATAAAACAACTTTTAAGCTTTTATTTGGGATACCTTACGAAAACATATGTACTACATTAGTTACAGATTTATATTTGTTGGGAAATATCTTCATGAGGATACCTGTAAAAAAACAAAGTATTTTATTTTAGAATTCAACGAAACCCTAAAAATTTCTTTTACTGGAATGCACCTTGACTACTTACCCTTGGCACTTTTTTTATACTGGCAAATTTCATAAAATAAATGCATATTGTCGTTAAGGATTCCGTCAAAATATAATTTCTTCAGTTTAGGGCATTTCAGTATCATCGAAAAAATTACGTGATCTAGATTTTCTCTGTTATTTTTGAGATCTAAGTTTATCCTTTCTGGGAGTAAAAAAATAACAAAATAGTAAATAAATCGCAAAAAAACAACAGAATCAAAGCTCTGAGCTAGATATAATATTACGGTGCCTAAGAACTGCAAGGTTGTATGATACAAAATGTAGAAACCATAGCACAGATGGTAGAAACTGAGAAAAATAACTTTGAATATTTTGACCATTAGATTTGGTATACAAGAAAGTATATTTGCTTTTGTTTTAAACGTAATAGGTGAAAGTCTACTACAAGAGCACATTTAAAAAACGGAATAGAAAATAATTTGTCCATATTTTTATTGAAAAAATAAAATAACATAGAACTTCGTGACTAATAAAAAACGAAAAATGCAAAAACATGAAACATAAGTCTTTGTAACATTATCTTCTGATCAGCAATCTCAGTTTTACTTTTTATATTGAGACATGTTGGAAAACACGTAAACATAAAAGTTTCTGTTCACGTTCGTTAAAAGTGGTTCGGAAACCGATGTCATAAAAATCTGTAGTAAATTGTAAAGAAACCACCTTTAAAAATGGAACTGCAGTATAGTAATTATATTAATTATTCAGCTTTAATTAAGTAATAGGTTGAAAATTCCAGAAAGTCTTGCTCTTTCATTTGAAGTATGGTGTAAGGCTTTCTTGTGTTTACTCTCAAAAGGGCTCTTGATAACTTAAGTGAAGAAAAGTATTAAGATTTTCTCAAACTGCTGTTTATTGCACTGTGAACTGAATCAACCTCTTGTATGCAGCAATGTCCAGCTACTGAAAACTTCATTTGAATTTTCTTTAAGTTCGTGTTAGTTTTTAAAATATGTGCAATAGCAAAACTCATAAATCTATCTCATGTTATACACATTTAGCTTACTTTTATAAGAGAAATTTTTGACGTCTCCTTTTGGACATGTCAATACACTTTCTATCCGTCTTTTTCTCTTCTCTTATTAAAATTTTTTCTTGCAAGTGTTTTATTTCCTTTTTCTTTTCTTCGTTATGGATGTTTTCTTTCTTCAATCAGTTTATTTCAGCACAGAGGTCACATAGATCTTTTGAAGGTTTATTAAATGAATAATTGAATTCAGTGCAAAATATTTTGCTATAAACATTGTTTTATTTAAGTCAAGTCTTTCTCCTTTATGAAATCCTCGTACATACTGTACATTTTTTGCAGTGATAGGTCACCCTCTACATATATTTTTTTAGAACGATTTCCGAAGTGGAAATTGAAACGTCAATAGACTAACTTTAACCTTTAATTGTGGTTTATTCCCATTTAAATAGTAACATATTTTCTTTTAATATCAATCAGCCCTACAATAATGGCTTTCTATTAAAGGGGACATATTAATATGCTCTCTAACAATCTCTAGCCCTCTATCAAAATTTTGTTGGTAATAAAATTGATGACAGTTTCTATAGACTACATAGTTCTGAGTCTGGGTCTCATCAGACCAAAAAACATGGTCCCAAATAGACCATATACTCATCACAAAGAGAAAGTAAACATCGTTAACAGACGCGAGAACATACAGAGGTGCACATGCAGACACAGACCATTTGATGGTTACCGCAACGTTAAAACAAAAAGTCAAAAGAACGCCAAAAAACAAGACAACAAAGGACAAATGGTACATAGAAAAATTAAATGCTACAGATAGAAGAATTAAATATGCGGAAGATATAAGCAAAAAACTGAAGGAATACTGTGAACATACAGAGAATGTTGAAACAGAATGGAGCAATATAAAAAAATGTATAAATGAAACAGCTTCTGAACATGTAGGGATAGAGAGAAAGAACAAAAAAGAAGAATGGTATAATCAAGACTGTCATAACATGTTAAAAAAGAAGATAGAAATAAGACAAAGGTGGATCAGAACAAATAGACAAGAATATAAAGAAGAATACAACAAATTAAGGACAGAATGTAAGAAACAAATAAGAAAAATTAAACGAACCTGGTTAAATGATAAGATAAATGAAATAGAAAAAGAAAACACAAATATAAACACAAAAGCATTTTATAAGAAAATTAGCGAGCAGAACAAAACCTTTAAAGGAAAGATAAAAGGCATAAAGGATAGAAATGGAAAAGTATCAGAAAATGACAAAGAGTTTAAAGAGATCTGGACTGATTATTTTAAAGAATTATTAACAGTACAAGAGGACGAAGACTTAAATGAAAATGTGGAATAAGACACCACAATGATAGAAACCGAGCTAGAAAAACCAACGAGAGATGAAGTTGAGGAAATTATACACAGTAGTCGCAACGGTAAAGCACCAGGTATAGACGGTATAAACATGGAACTAATAAAATATGGTGGACATGAACTCAGAGAAAAAATATACCAATTAATAAAAGTCATATGGGACGAAGAAAAGATGCCAGAAGAATGGCACAAAGGACAAAGTATCACAATCCATAAAAAAGGAGACCAACAAATGTGTAATAATTATAGAGGACTGACATTATTAAACACAGCGTATAAAATCATGTCAACCTTAATATAACGAAGACTGGCCAAAGCGACAACAAATATCATGGGACAGTATGAATGCGGATTTATTAGGGGAAAGTCAACAACAGATGCCATACAAACGGTAAAGCAAATTATGGAGAAAGCTTATGGATATAAAATAGAAATTGAACTGCGTTTTATAGACTTCCAACAAGTATTTGATTCAATAAACAGAGCGAAATTACTTACAGCTATGAGAGAAATGAGAATACACAACAAATTAAGACGATTAATAAAAATGACAATGAGCAAAACCGTAGTAACTGTAAAAATACAAGAAGGAGACACAGAAGAATTTGTTATAAATAAAGGTGTACGTCAAGGAGATTCATTATCTACAACTCTGTTTAATCTTGCCCTGGAATTAATAGTCAGAAAAATCAACAAAGGTACACTTAGAACGAGAGAGGGACAAATAATAGGATATGCCGACGATATTGTGATAATAACAAAGAACAGAAAAAAATGGAAAGTATGTTAAAAGAATTGGTAGCAGAAGGGAAAGTAATGGGATTAGTAATAAATCAAGAAAAAACAAAAATAATGAGATTTGACAAAAAATATGAAAACAAAAAGGTTAGACTGGGAGAATATATATTTAAAGAAGTAGAAAAGTTTAAGTATTTGGGAATATTATTAGCAAACAATGGAGAAAGGGAAACAGAAATTAAAGAAAGGATAATTACAGCAAATAAGACATACTATGCAAATAAAAAGCTTCTAAAAAATAAATTACTGAGCAAAAAATCGAAAATGAAAATATATAAAACAATAATTCGACCGACTATGATGTATGATGCCGAAACCCTTAGCATGACAAAAAAACAAGAGGAAGACCTTAGAATACTAGAAAGAAAAATACTAAGAGCAATACTAGGACCAATAAAAATTAATGAAAACCAATATAGACAAAGAACGAATCATGAACTACTAAACGAAATTAAAGAGGATATAGTTTGTAAAATAAAACAGCAAAGGCAAAATGGCTAGGACATATATGGAGATCAGGACCATCTACGACAATATTCTCAATATTGGAATGGACACCAGCTGGTAAACGAAGGCGTGGAAGACCAAGATCTACATGGCTACACGAAGTAACAAACGATCTCAACAGGGCGGGCGTACGACAATGGAGAGAAAAAACCAGAGATAGGAAACAGTGGAGAAAAATAACAAGAAAAATTAAATAAAGAAAATGAGGACTGATCTACCTCGTAATATAGATCTAGAGAGCTTAAGCGGCGTAACCCCGTACGGGGTGTGTAGCCACAATATATATATACATAGTTCTGAGTTTGCTAATTTAACTAAAACTTTGCGAAACACAAAGTCGTATGTTTAACATAGGATTATGTTGCCCTCTTTTCATATTTTCATAACATACACCAATGATTTTCGATTAATTTTAGAGGATTGCATGCACATATTTTAGATTTACAAAGTTCTATGATACATAAAACCTTGTTATCTTAAAATTGCTAATTTTTAAATTTTGTTACATACACCCTTGTAATACTCAGGCAGCGATTAAGCGAAAGATAGTACAAGTGCATTAAAAAACTAAACTGCGCTTACCTAGGAAAGAAAACTTTATAATAACCCAAAAATCTCAGGATCTCTACAGAATAAAATTAAAGAACCAAAAAAACTAGTTAGAAGAACGAAAAATGAAAAATTTGGAAGATAGTTTAAAAAAAATTAAAAAAGCAATGAGACAAAACAAAGAAATAATCAATAATTGATGGTTTTTAACTTAGAATAGAAATACCTCAACATCATGAACCCACAGCCTCCTAAATTATATTCTTTCATTAAATTACACAAACCGGATCACCCAATAAGACCTGTAGTTTCTTTTTATACAGCTCCGTCATATTAATTTTCAAAAAAACTGTTAGAGATTATTTTAGAACACACTAAATTTTCACCTAAATTTACCATAAAAAATACAATAGAACTAGTTAATAAAATACAAGATTTTCAATTACCTAACAACTTCAGATTAATTTCATTTGACGTAAAAAATATTTTTCCTAGTATCCTTCCTACAGAAACTTTTATTCTAGTAAAAAACCTTTTAGACCTAAATAGTACAAATCCAATAATTACATCTGACATTTTACATCTTCTTGAAGTTTGCATAAACTAGGACTACTTTGAATTTATTAATCAAATATATACAAATAACAGTGCAGAACTTATAATGGGCAATCCTCTAAGCCCATTGCTATCAGATATTTTTATGGATCATCTAGAGACAAAGATTTCAAAACATCCCGTATTTAAACAGATTTTATATTGGTGGAGATAAGTAGACGACGTACTGGTATGTTTCACAGGAACTAACAGGCAACTCGACCAATTTTTATCGTATATTAATTCACTTCATAGTCATATTGAATTTACAATAGAAACAGAACCAAATCAATCTATAAATTTTTTAGATTTAAAAATTATCAGACTTAAAAACAAACATGACTTCTCCATATTTTATAAACCTACCCATACTGACACGACTATACAAAATTAATCATCCCATCCAACACAACATTAACTGGCAGCCTATCATAGTATGTTACATAGATTAACAGAAATTCCGATGTCAAAATACAACTTTGAGACAGAATTAAATATCATTAAGCAAATAGCAGTAAACAATAGATACAACGAACAAACAATTAATAAAATGTTAAATCAAAAACTACACACGAAAGCCCTGAAATTAATATTTCCACCACTAGAGAAAAAACCCAGTACCTTCTGCTCGATTACATATACAGGCAAAATATCAACAAAAATAGCCAAACACATAAAAAAGAAAGGAATAACACCAGCTTTCAGAACAAATAACAACCTTGGTAAATATACTAAAAACAACAAGAGCCAAAATAAAAAACACTTACACAGTGGTGTGTACAAATTTAAATGTGACGACTGCCCAAAAACTTACATCGGTCAAACTGGTAGAAACTTTAATAAACGAATAGCAGAACATAAAAGGGCTTTCAATAATAGAAAAACAGATTCTACATACGCACTTCACCTTCTAAATCATAACCATAATTTTAATGACGAATTTAAAATTCTTCACATTCAAAATAAAGGCATTAAGCTATCCTTGTTAGAATCTATGGAAATCAACAAATTAAAAAACACAGATATAATTCTGAATGACCAACTTGAGACAAATATTTCTCCCCTCCTCTACCTATTTCATTAGAGACTATAAAGTGTAAACGCATGCCAAAAATAGATCACTTGAGAAAGGCAATCAGCCGACACAGGTGTACTGATAAGAGTTTAAAATAAAGTTTGTGGAAGTTTGAAAACAAAGTTTTCAGTGTTTTATTGTTAAATAATAAATACGTATATCTTGACTTGATTAAGCAGAAACATAACGAGAATCTCAAAAACGAACTAAGAATAAATACCACATGTTTTGACCACAAAGGCCAACATAAATATACATTTAATAACACTCGTGGACAAAGATCTATGATAGATTATGTTAAAACCAACAGAGATATACATCCACCAACAATAATCGATGTAAGATGCCTCAACTCAGCAGACGTAGATAAAGTTGAAGCTAGAAAAGTGGTCAGACTATGAGTAAGAATGCGTGAGTCAAACTGTGGGGAAGGAGGAAATGCCCGTCTTGGAGTGATTCCGTACTAGGAGCGATAAGGGTCTTCTACGCGCTACCTGGAACGAGACAGGAAGCCTCCTTGCTGATGAATGGAGTCTGGATGTGGATGAATGGAGAATGAATGAATGAAGGTAGTGCTTCGGAAGTGATGCCGGCCTTACAGCAGCCATTCCGCTTCCGGATCGCTGGATGACAGAGGACTGTCAGACAGGCGGCATCCTGGACTGAGATGTCTTTTGAAGATTCCAGACCCCCCTCTATAAAGACGAAAAAAAAAGTTGATTACTTTATAGTTTGGAGCAACGATTAAACTGACCACTGACAAGAGATGTCACTTTCATAGGATTTAGGGCCAGGACTACGCAAGAAAATCGAAAAAAAAGTTATGTAAGAATTTTAGATGAAAAAAAAGCATATTTTTGAGCATTTGTAATGAGAATTTACAAAAACCGTAATAAAAAATACATACCTAGTGTATCGTGATAATTTCTTATCAATCTGAGAAGGGTTGCTTCAAAGTTTCTGCTGACTTTTTGATTAAACTTGTTGTTGCTTATCAGAGTGAAATAATTCAAGGGTATTGCCTTCATTAGGAATATGAATTTTATTTGCTCGTAATGGCATATGTTTTCTGTAAGATGATTAAAACAATTTTAGAAATCTTATAAGAAATGAGCATTTGTCCTGTAGAGACGGACTAAACTTTGCGGTTTGGTAACTGTGATTAAATTTTTTATTAATTGGGTATTACATCATCATCAATGGTGCTACAGCCCTATGAAAGAGCCTCGACCTTCTCAAGTCTATTACGCCAGGCAGTCCTATCAATTGCCAACCGTTGCCAGTTTGCTGCGCCTATCTTTCTATCATCCTCATCTACACCATCCTTCCATCTGAGTTTTGGCCTACCCTTTTTTTTACTTCCCACGGGTTGTGACATAAGGATTCTTCTAGGAGGGTTGTTCTGCTGTGATCTTGTTAGATGTCCTGCCCATCTTAGTCTTCCTATTCTTATAAGAGATACTACGTCTTTACCACCAAATATTTGTTTATATCTGTGGTATACCTCGTAGTTGTATCTCCTTCTCCAAACACCATTTTCACAGATGCCACCAAATATTCCTCTCAGGATCCTTCGTTCAAATATAAGCAGAAGGTCTTCGTCTGCCTTGGAGATGGTCAATGTTTCCGATCCATATGTCAACACTGGCAGTATAAGGGTTTTGTATATGGTTATTTTTGTTTTTTTTGGCTCAAGTTTCTATTTCTCATATGCCTACTCAGTCCAAAATAGCATCTGTTTCCCATTATTATCCTTCGCTTGATTTCTTCCGTTATGGCGTTCTCTTTGGTGATCAGGGAGCCTAAGTATGTGAATTTGTCCACCACTGCAAAGGTAGAGTTATCAACCGCGAATTGGGGACCGATGTTCCTGACTCTATTGTTGGGTGTTGATGCCATCATCTTAGTTTTCTCCTCATTTACTTGCAGGCCCATAGATTTTGAGGCATTTGAGAAGGTGGTATACATTTCTTCTAGCTTGTGTGTCGTGCGGGCAACTAGATCCACATTATCTGCATATGCCAAAATTTGGGATGATTTATTATTGGGTATTGGGAATTGGGTATTATATGCAGCAGTTTAAACTTACCTATTCGTTAACTAGTTTGTAAGGTTTTATTATGCAATTTACAACTTAGTGCAATTTTGCAATGGATTGTATATTTTATTGTTTTATTTATTGACGATTTATGTAATTTTAGTAAATTTTAATTGTTATTGTTATTTTTTGACTTTATCCATAGAATTGTACAATTTTCAGTGACAATAAAGCATATTTCTATTCTATTCTATTCCATCCATTTAAGAGCTTATTAGGCGTTTCCAGATTATGACCAATTCTGCATATCAATTCAACTATAGTACCTACTGTATTTACTAAATATCTTAAAAAGCTCACTTACTTATTTTAATTGACACTTTAATGTCAGGACAAGCTTTCCTTAATCCCTTCCACTGTTTTTCAGGTATTATTATACTATGCAGATCAATTTCATCTACGTAGATCTCCAAAAACTTCAGCTTGATACTGCAATTTTCCGCAATGACATCCATCACTCTAGGTCTCGATAAAATGAAATAATCCAACTTTAGTTCACTGAGGCTCAAAAATTGCTCCAGGAAAACGACGAATTCTAGCGTGGCAAAAGCTGTATTGAAGTTATAATAGTTGTTATGGATCTCTAAAGAGGTAACCGAGAATTTGGAACCGAGACAAGATTCCAAAACTCGCATGCATTCAGTTCTTGGTAGGTTGATGTTATGAAATATTAGTTTTTTCAAATTCGACTGTGTTCTACAAATTCAAAAAATATAAAGTGTTAAAAGCCATAGAATAATATATAGAGACTAAAATAAGATAGCTAATGTGAAAGTGATATTGAAGCCATGTTTGACGGCAAACGGGAAGATCCATATATCCACGAAAATAGGAGCAAAAGAGAAAATTTAGCACAGGGTTTGCGACTGGCGCATATCGTGATTATCGATATTGGGCACATCCTGAAGGGATTCCAGCAAAAAATAGCTTCCTATGGAAAATGTCCAATCCAAAACAGATCCCGCCTAGACTAATATTATATAAACAGGAATAATTAGAGGCCAAGTATTTTAAAACCACACATACAGTTTGCAAAATCTCAAGAACAACAATACGCCAGGTCCGGATGATATCCGTGCAGAGATAATTAAACCAGATGAGAGTTAGCACATGGAACATTAGATCGCTCAAGACATTAGACGCTCTTCTTCTTCTTCTTCTTCGTCTAGCCATTTACGTCCACATCTGAACATAAGCCTCTTCAAGTCTTCCTTTCCATTGTTTTTTATTGTACGCTACTTGTAGCCAATTTTTCCCGGCAGTCCTTTTCAGATCATCTGTCCATCTCATAGGAGGTCTGCCTCTGTAGTGGGCACAAGTATGAGATACATGGTGCAGTGGTTTACAAGGCTTGCGGATGTGGCAAATGACTTAGGACTTGTGGTAAACGAGGAAAAAAACAAAAATGTATGAAATTGTATTTTAAAGTATAAAAAAATCACCATTTTACTAATCCAAACCAAATTTCACTCATCTTAAGATATGTAATGTTATTTTACAATTTTTGAAATATAGGGGTAGTTTTCACCCTAAGAACAATCAGGGTTCATCGGCATGACATAAACTATAAAGCAGAGGGTAAGTTAAGCTTAATTCAACATTTTTACGCAAATCGTTCCAAGGCGAAATCATTTTCTTCGCATTACTACTTTTTTTTACATTAATCTCTAACAAAGGTCGCTTTTTAAGGGTTGAAATATGATGGAACTTTATTCAAAAGCACGAAATTATCATTGTTTAATTAATTCAAGCCAAATTTTACCCATATTCAGGTTTAATATGTTATTTTATAGTTTTTGACAATTAGGGGTAGTTTTCACCCCTAAAAACAATCAGGGTTCGTCGACATGACATAAAATATAAGCAGTGGGTGAATTGAGCTTAAATCCAAATTTTTATCCAAATCGATTCAAGGCGAAATAATTTTTTAGAATTAGTAATTTTTTTACATTAATCTCTTGTAATCTCTTGTATACATAAGGGTTGCTTTTTAAGGGTTTAAATATGATGGAACTCTATTCAAAAGTATAAAATAATCATTATTTAACTAATTCAAACCAAATCTTACCCATATTTAGGTTTAATATGTTATTTTATAATTTTTGACAGTTAGGGGTAGTTTTCACCCCTAAAACCCTTCAGCGCACTTCAGTTCGATATAGATTTTGATCCTTGGGCTATCACCTACCTTCTGTTAAAATTTCAACTCAATCCATGCAGGACGAAAAAATTGCGAAGTTTTAACTTTTTTCAAGCTTCATTTCCTGAACAATTATCGCTTCCTTACGCAAACAACATTGTTGCGAGACAGATAGTTGAACGATATTTTATACAATGTCTATACCCAGGTATGGATTTATTTTTGTCCAAGTTTTATATTGGTCCACTATTTCAAATGCAGTTCAAACAGACATATATTAAATTGTATGATCCGTTTTAAATTCGTTCAATCTGTATAATACCTTAATAAGACTGATTTTGATATATGGGGCTGAAACATGGACCTTATCTCAAAATGATAAAAGACTTCGGTATTTTTGAGAGAAGAATTCTCAGAAAGATTTTTGGGGCCGTAAATGAAAATGGGTTATGGCGTCGAAGATACAACTTTGAACTATATCATTTATACACCGATACAGATATTGTGAATTTCGTTAAAGTGCGAAGATTAATATTTTCAACACCATAGAGCACAAGAAGTAGAGGACGACTCCGAAGGAGATGGATTGATGATGTGGAAGAGGACCTACAGATTCTAAGGTTCAGAAGATGGAGTGAAGTTGCCTGGAATCGACAGGAGTGGCGACTTGTTTGTGAGCAAAACAAGATCCACAACGAATTGACAAGCCACTTCATCAAAATAGGAGTCCGACAGGGTTGCATTTTGTCCCCAATATTGTTTAATGTAATTGGGGTAATAAACATCTTTCGTTATGCCGACGATATGGTATTGGTGTCAGATTTAGACGTGGCTATTCAAAATCATGTGAAAAGATTCAAGAAATCTTGAGACGAGGCGAGTGCAGATAAATACAAGTAAAAACAAAAGAGTACGGAGATAACAATACAAAAAATACCTACTCTAATCTATATACATAAAAACAACTAGAACAAGTTAATAAATATATATGGGAGTCCGAAGTAACAAACAGCTGGATACAAATCAAGAAATTATGTGCCGCATTAGAAGAGCTAGAGGATCGTTCATAAAAATGAAGAATATATATTGCAATATTCCCATCCCTTTACTGTTGATCTAATTTATTGTACGGCGCGGAAGCGTGGACAATCAAAATAGAGTAAATCTAAATACACTTACTTTAAAAATCTGCTGATGTGAAAAATGATTTTTTTGAATGCATATATATCATGCCACTCAAAGAACCTGAAGCAACTAAGCTGGATGTTGTTTTCGTATAAGACGCAAATAAAATGGATAACCCGTTTCGTGAGGTCGTGCACCTTGAGTGGCAGCCATCGGTTTTGAACCAAAGGTCTGTTCCATCCTATTTCCAAGGTCCTAATACATTTACAGTATTCTCTGACGAAAAGGGTGGTGCTAGGTTCCAAGAAGTCACGGTCGACGTGAAGTACGATTCTTTTCCACAAATATCTCCTGCTCAGAGCGTTGTGCCATTTCTGGCAAACGACTGAACAGGAGAGTCGGTCTGGTCTGGATAGGTATCGAAAAATTTCAGATACTATTTCTACGGGAATAGCAACTTGCCAGCAACTATCCATAATCTAATGCAGCTACCATTGTAATATATCCCAATTTCTTTAGCTAAAATTTACCAAAGAAAAAATATTTCCAAAACTTCAATGTACGTCAAGTGTATTATTTTTATTAAATGACAAACATATCATTGGTACACATATCCATGGTGAAAAATCTACAAAGAACAATCGTCATTTTAATGACACAATGTTTTTGCAGCTTCAGTTTTTGAAATAATCATATTTTTAACACATTAAACAGGACATAAAAATATTAATTATTATTAAAATTGAAATTACATAGTTTAAAAATAAATTATAAATACTAAACGTGAAAAGTTAAAAATTGGAATTTGGAACATACGGAATTTAAACAATAAAGAAGAGGAACTTATGTTTACTTAGATAAACCTATGTTTCCTTCTTCATGGACAGAAAGATCTCTCTCTTCAATCCTGACCCCCCAGGGGGAGTGTAGTGGTTGACGTGATGTCGTGTATTGTCCGTCTCCAGAGATCTCTGTCTCTGGTCATTTCTTTTAATTCATGCATAGGTCTTTGGTATATTCCTGTAATTTGATCTATCCATCTTGTTGGGGATCTTCCTCGTGATCTTCGGCCTTCTACCTTTCCTTGTATTATGAGTATTTCCATGTTTGCTGTGTTTGCTCTCATAACATGCCCAAAATATTTTAATTGTTGGAGATGGACTTTACTAGAGAGTCGTTGGCTAACTTTTAGCTCTCTTAAAATTGAATTATTTGTTCTGCGGTCGGTCCAAGGAATTCGTAACATTCGTCTCCAACAGAACATTTCAGTGGCGTCTATCTTTCTTCTCTCCGATTGTCTCAGAGTCCAAGATTCACATCCGTAGGTCAGTATTGGGAATATTAAGCAGTTGATCAACCTCATCTTTATCGCTCTTGAAATTTGACAGTCCTTCCATATTTTGGTCATTTTTGCTGTGGCAACTTTTGCTAGATCACATCTACGTTTAATCTCTTCTTGTAATGACCCTGTGTTTGTGATTAATGATCCCAGATATAAGTATGAGCTCACAACCTCGAACCGGTCAATTGTGGTTATGTGTGGATGATTGTTGTGTAGTCTATCCACTATCATGATAGACAGAAAGATATGTTGTTCATATATTTAAAAATGGCCAAAAAGACAACATTGAACATTATCGTAGCATCTCTATAAATCTGCAATCTCTAAACTTTTCGACTGTCTTATAGCAAAGCAACTTTTTTGGCCTTGTAAAGGCTCAATATCTCAATCACAAAATGACTTTCATAGCAAAAAATCCACTGCAAGAAACTTGGTTTGCTATCAATCTAATATATTATCTAATCTAATGGAAAACCGTAAACATGTATATACAATATACACAGATTTTTCCAAAGCATTTGATCATGTAGGTAACCAAATACTTTTGGGCAAATTAATTAATGTAGACTTTCATGACAAGTATATTGAATGCATAAAAAACTCTACATTTGGTAGAAGTCAAAGAGTTAAGATAGGTTGTCATCACTTCTCCACTTGTTTTTAATCTTCTTTAATGACATCAGTTCTTATGACTTAAAATTTTAAAAGTTATAGATAGCTTAAAAGACTAAGCCTTGTTGCAAAATGACTTAGACCGAGTTCAAAATTAGTACAATTAGAACAAACTCCACTTAAATGTAAATACATGTTGTTTTGTAAGCTTTTCTTGTAAAGTCAATAGAATCTAACCAAGCTATAGAAGAGAAGAAGAAGAGTTATATTTTTTACTTTTTGTAAGCTTTGTCCATAAAATTGTATAAGTTTCAGTGACAATAAAGCATATTTTTATTCTGTTCTATTATCAGAACAGTATTGCTATGTTAGAAAGAGTCCAGCATAAGATAGATGAGATATTGTACTGACCACGTTCACGCTATTATGGCTTGAGGAAACAGATGGCCTCAAAACTACCCTGAAAAATTAAAGTTACCATAGATAAAATACTAATAAGGCCAGTATTAACATACGGGTCAGAAACGTGGTCACTTACACAGAACGACCAAGAATTGCTTAAACGTTTCGAGAGAAAAATTCTACGGAAAATATATGAAGTAGTCCAAGAACAGGGTTCGTGGCGTAGGCGCTACAACTTTGAGTGATACAGAAATTTTGGGGAACCTGACGTTGTAAAATGTATTAAATTAGCAAGCCTTCGATGGATAGGACATGTAATTGTCCAGAGAAAGATCAAAGTCCGAACCAGAGAAAGATCAAAACTTAGGTATCAAATTAGCATAGAGCAGGGGTGGCCAACCTTTTTAAGTCGAGTGCCAATATGAGAACAAAAAAAATTTGGCGTGCCACTAAATTTTTTCGACATACTAATATGTATACTATATATTAATAATATACGGTACAATATGTATTTCTTATGTAAATTCCACAGTTTTCCGTTTAGTCAAGATAGTGGAGGTTTAAAAAATAACGTAATAAGTAAAACATAACAACAAACTTACTTTATTGTTAATAAAAATAAAATAAAAACGTTAAACAAACAAACTTAAATATTTTCTTATTATCTAAAATTCAAATTATTAAACAGTTACTTATTTAATGTGGTATTTGAACTTGTATTTTTTTAATTAATTCATCTATATTGGGATTAATTTCGGAACTAGCCAACAGAATTAGATTTTTTAAGTGCATGTCAGTTAATCGTGACCGATATTTTGATTTTATTATGTTCATAATAGAGAACATTTGCTCACAAACGTACGTTGAACCTAAAATATCTCAGAGCTAACTCGTGTAAATTAGGAAAATTGTTTGCTGGTACCAATTTCCAAAATTCAATATAATTGGGATCAGTAACAGTTGAAATAATTTCCCTATATTTGGTTTTTAGTATAGTGTGGTTCTGTAAATCAATAATTTCGATCTGTATTTCAGCTGAGTAACAATTCATATCTTGCAGAGAAATAGAAAAAGGATTTATGAAAAGGTCAACATTCATTTTGTCTTTTTGAAAATCTTCAAACCGGGTATTGAATGAACCTAGCAAAATAGATATAAGGTTTTTAAATCTGTCATAATTTGGAGTTCTACTGACCTTGTTGGCTAATTCCTGCATTAATGTGAAATGCGTCAATCTCTGTTCTCCAAAATCGTTACAAAAAAGCATAAGTTTATTCACAAAAGAAGATATATGACCAACTAGAGTAGGAAAAATACAATTTTTTTCCTATAATCTTAAATTTAATAGATTTAAATGTCTCCTAATATCAGTGAGAAAAGCTAAATCCCAAAGCCAATCTTTATCATTAAGTAACGAGCACTCACTGGGTAGTTCATTGTTTTCTTGCAAATATTTTAAGACGCACTCCTTCAAGTTCCAAAACCTTTCGAGTGCATTTCCAGTGCACACTGCAATGGAGAAGTAACTCTCCATCTTGCTCCGTTTCTTCCGCGAACAGTTTTCGAAATTGTCGTCGATTCAATGCCCGAGCTCGTATTTTGTTAATACAGCGTGTTACAGGGTCAACAACATATGACATATTTAGGTCCTTGGCACAAAGAGCTTCCTGGTGAATAATACAATGGTACTTAAAATTTTTTCTTCCCAAATAGTTTTCCAGTAATGTAACAAACCCCTTTAGTCTACCAACCATGCAAGGAGCTCCATCTGTACAAACACTATCTAATTTTGACCATTCAACTTTGTTGAATTCGATTACGTTTTTAAGCTGTTGAAAAATGTCTCTTCGGCATTTTCAAAATTATCATTGGTATAACGGACAAAAATGCTTAACTGCGCATTTTCTGTGTTGTCACAACTTTCATCCAACGCTAAAGAAAAGAATTTGCAGGATTGTAATCCACTTATAATTTGGGAAACAACATCCTGGCCCATATCATCTATACGGCGCATGACTGTATTTCGGGATAATGCAATATTATCGACCATATTTTTGATCTTTACATCTCCCACATGTGAACCAAATGTGAACCAATAGGATATTTGTTGCCGAAGTCCTTATGCAGTTGTTTATAATGTCGTTCCAGGTTAAATTTTTTCGGAACTGCTACAGACAATCCACATATCAAACAAACAGGCTTTGAAGTATTACGATTAGTAAATAAAAATTGTTCTTCCCAAGCAGGTTGAAAATCGATGATATTGAAATTGCAATATCATCTTCGTATTTTCGTTTTGAAGTCGAAGGCTTACTCGTTGACATATCGAATAAATACTTTTAAAATTTTAAAGAAACAATGCGCGATGACAAAATGTGCACATGCAATGGGGCAGTTTAAAATAAACTAAGCAAGGGTAACGCAGTCCTATTGCACATTACGACAGCTAGGATCACGTGCACCAATCGCAGCAATATCGCTCGCCAGAGGATATACCAAGTTTCTTCTTGTTATTTTTTGTTTTTCAAGTTTTAATTTTTTTTAAAGTTTGATCCTGTTAAGCCTCCTCCAAAACCTGTTAAGCCAGAATATCTTTAATGTTACCCATCAAGCTCTAGGTTATCACAATGTTTTCAATATTTCTTTCCGCAGAAAAACCTATGGTATTTACAACCCATTGGATAGATATATAGGGCTATTAAATATTCAGGGCTATTAAATATTCTCGATTTTGATATTTCCAATGTACTTTTAACTCGGTGTAAAAGCTGTCTTGCGTTGTGATGTGTTTATTGGTATTGTTGAATTTTGTTCTTGTTATATTTTGTTTTTTTTAGTATGTAAGATTTTTAGTCTCATTTTTTAAACTTTTTAAAATTGATTTTATATTATAAGTTATGTCAAGTTTTGAATCCTAAGGCTAGGCGCATACACATCGAATTTGGACGGTCGATAAAAGTTCGACCGAACTTTTGTCGATGATGCCTTGCGCGCACACTACACGATATTTATTTGATGACGTTTTTTTAATCCATAAAGGTTTGTTAGGTGGAGTACACAAAATCACAATGAGCAACACAGAACCACGTAGCAACACGGAGCGACGTACCTTGAGCAGTGTCAAACAAACGCAATTGGTCCTCTGGTCGGTCGATAAAGATCGATGTGTGTGCGCGCGGTCATTTGATACTATACGCCTTGGAACGACGGCAACGACCACG